CCTTTCAGAGGTAACACTCGCATAGCTTATGTTTGGTGAGTATGTTTTCAAAGAATGAGCACTCACTCATTAGTACTGAGGAGGAGGAGGGCTGTGCCTGAGCACACAGCACAGGAGCCCAGGAGGCTTCACTCTGTCTGGATGATGCTTGGCCATTCTGTGGCTGGTGTGAGAGCTGGTTGGACCCATTGGTGTGTACCAGAGTGTGCAAATCCAGCTGGGATCTTCCATTGCGCTCGCCTTCTGCTGAAATCCCTGTGTTTCCTTACACTGTGTGGCTGTAACCCCCCTGTGCTGCAACAGATCTGCCAACACCTCCTTTATTTTGGGATTTGTGCATATGTAAATGGAGCCATTCCCACACTCGTGATCCCTGGAGCTGCGCAGTCAGGATTGCTGCACATCCAGGCCCTGCCTCTGTGACCGGGATAATCCCAGGGCCTGTTGATCCTAGGGCTGTAGCTGGAGTGGGGTGCAGCTGCTGACCCATTCCCTTGGCCGGGCATCGTGGGAGCACCCGTCTCCTGGCACCAGCCTGCTTGTGGGGACGCCTTTTTGTTCTCCTTTGTGACAGCGCTGCTGATGCGTGGCGCAGATGACACAGTGCTGAGCACCACGGAATCCCAGCTGTGGGGTACCAGCATCTCAGCCACTGGGCCACTCTCAATCGGGTATGTTGTTTTCAGCCTGCCTTTTAGTTACCTTTTAGTGCAGAGAAACCTTTTGCCAAGGGATTAAGACTTTGGGGCTGCTCGACTTCCTTTGGCATCTGAGTCCTGCCGGGTGGAGAGTGCAGGAGGTGGTTTGTGGTGGTGGCAGCGGGGTGAGGGCTCTGCTGTGGCTGTGCTGGCAGTGATGGGTCCTGGCTGCACTCCAAAGAGATGTCGGGATGCCCGTTTGCTGCCTGTGCTGGAATTGCTGCTGCAGACCGGGCCTGGGGCTGTGTGGAGCCTCATTGTCTTCAATGCAGAGGGGTCACCAGGCAGCAGGGGCATGCTGCTTTATGGGAGAAGTTTCCTTCCAATGCCCGGGGCTTACAGGTGTTCATGTATTTCATTTATTTATTGATTTAATTTTCTTTTGTAAGTCGGGTTTGCTTGTGTCTTTCCTGTTCTTCTTTCCTCTTTATGAAGCAGTGTGTGTAGCTGTCATCTTGGTTCCTTTTGGAGGAAGGCTGCAGCAGTGTTCAGTGTGGGCTGTGCTGGGCGAGGGGTTTGCCATGCACCAAGCTTTGCTCAAACAGTGCGACTTTTGCTGCTGTTGCCAGAGCACACCAAGCCATTTTTCTGATGCCTTCAAGCCTAGCAAGCTGCTTAGAAAAGACATTTGCAGGATGGGCAGCGGGGGAAGAGCAGTGCTTTAATTCTGGCTCAGTTCTGGGCATAGGTGCAGGATGGTGGCAGGGATGTGGCTCTGGAGGAGAGGAAGCCAGGTCAGGCTGGCATGGGTTTGGACAAGCAGTGGTGGTGGGTTTGCAGGCAATGTGGGGACCGTCACCTCGAGCTGGAAGGCTTTGATGTCAGAGCCTGCGAGAGCAGTGGTTGCTTTCAGTATCCTTGCCAAACTCCACAAGGAAAATATTTCTTTCCTCTTTAAATGTCTTGTGGGCCTTGAGCTGACTAATAGCTTTCATTTCCTCTCCCCAACTTGAGTACTGTCAATGGCTGTTAAAGGGTCACATCATTTCACTTAAGGCTTTTCCTTATGGCTTTGTGGTCCTGTGTGCTTTGAGGAGTAAATTGCTATTTTGGCTTCTAGCCCCTAACATTTTGTACAACACAGGCCTGCAGGGACTGTTCAGCTGCGAAATGCTATTGAAGTGATTGAGAGTTGCTCCTGGGCTGAGCCCGTTCCTCCTGCTCCTCCCAGCAAAACCTTTGCTGTTTGCCTCCTTGTGCACCCCATGGCACAGCTCAATGGCCCTGCTCACTGCTGCCTAAAGGGCTGCAGGTTTACAAAGAGCCAGGTTTGGGGAGGCTGTTAATTTTGGGATAAGCTGTTGCCTTCTAGATAGTGTTCCTGCTTAACAAGAGGAGTTCTGCTGGGAAAGGATAAGAGTCTTCAGAGGGTTTGTGCTTTATCTGCCGTGCAGAGGGTGCTGCTGAAGTTATCTCTGCGCAGCTCTCCTTGCTGCAGTTGTTCATTACTGAAGCATCACTTCAAGGTGGGGTTGGTTTTACACTTCTTAGACTGTTTTAGGATAATTTTTCCCCTTAATGGTTTTGTTTTTCCCTAAGAGGGATTTCCCCTTCCCCCACTCGAAAGGAAAACCAGGATTAGCATTATGGACTTGTTTCAATGTTTTCACACCATCTTTAAGCAGTCTAATCTAAAATATGCACTTTAATAAGGCTTAAATTCTCTTGAGTCACATGAGTTTGTTACCTGAGTAACAGCCCAAAGGGGTTTGTATAGAAGCAACTCTTGGTTTCAGCAGGACAGATCTGTCCCAAAACTCCTCATCATCAGTACGGTTTGGAGTGAGCGATGCTCTTAGCTGACATCTACAAAGGACGAAAAAGAGAGAGGGAGAGAAAATGAAGTTCAGCATCCGTTGGAGAGGCATAAAATGTCTTTGTAGATGCTGCTGAAGAGGACCCTGCGTGTGATTAGCTGGTACTTCAAATTCTGCTGGGAGAGCTTTGCAGTGCAGAGATAATGGTGCTGGCCACTCCTAGCCCACTGGATCACTTTGTGTGCTTAATGTTATTTATTTGCTTATCTGGTGCTGATGAAATTTCATCAGCACTGTTGTAATGGCTTTAAATCTCAGCCCTGCAGGGCAAAGCTGTGGGAAATGCTGCTCATGGGGAGGGGCAGCTTGTGAGAAAGGCGTTTGTTGAGTGGGCACCTCTTCAGCTAGAAGCAAGATTTTTCAGCTAAAACCAAGATAAAAGCAAGACCTCTCCTATGGAGCCAGACTGAGAGAGCGGGGCTGATTCAGTCTGGAGAAGAGAAGGCTCCTTAAGGGGGGACCTTAGAGCAGCTTCAGTGCCTAAAGGGGCTACAGGAAGCCTGGAGAGGGGCTTTGAACAAGCCAGCTCTTCCTGGCAGCTCTTGCCTCTGAAACATTAATGGCTGCATCTTACTGAGCCCACCTTGAGTCCTTTAGCTCTGAGGTGCTGAATCCTGCCATGTGTGGAGCTCAGTGGGAACAGGGTTGTTCCTGTGTGCAGAGCAGTGTTAGGGAGCTCAGGCAGAGCAGGATCAGCAGCTCTCACAAACACCCTGCCCTTGCTTAGTGCTGAACTAAGCCTTGGCAGGGCTTGTGCTGAATCATGGCTCCCTGCTGCTGTGCCAGGGGTGCTCAGATGCTAAATGCTCTGCAGAGAACTGGAAGGTCTGAGCTGTGTCCCCTGTCCCTGTGCAGCAGCAGAGCCTCTGGTGGGCTGTGTGAGCTCACCAGCTCTCAAGCCAGCATCCTCTCCGCATGGTGCCCCAAGAAATTCTAGTCCAGAGGCAAAACTGCATCTCTCCAGGAAGGCTGTGGGAGACACTAATTGCTCTTCTCCAAATGATCAGGTGGGAGGAAGAGAGAGAAAGAGGCAGAATGAGGAAACAGCCTCATTTAAATCCAGCACAGTGGATGTGGGAGCAGTTTGTCTCTGGGTCTGCAGTTGGGAAGCAAAGATGTTCCTGTCTGTGGATGCTGAGTAAACTGAGCTGGGCTGGGAGGGGTTGTTGGAGACCAGCATTTGTGAGTGGGGTGGGAACTGCTTCTCCCATCCACATTTTCCTACTAACAGACAGGTCAGTGCATGGGGAAAGGTGGTGTAATCAGAGCCTGTGTGTGTCTGGGGCAGAGAGGTCCCTCTTCTGTATATGCACGCACAAGAGCAGCACATTTATGTGTCATTTCACATTGATGCTCGTGCCCATGTTGCTTTTGTGGCCTGTGCACTAAAGGTTAGCATCATATTTTGGTATTTCAGTGCTAAGTACACCTGTAAATAACGTCAGGGAATGGCCAGATGAGACCAGTCACTGATCAATGATCAGTGTGATCAATGTGATCAAAGTGATCAATGTCCCTTCTGAGCAAAAATGAGGTGCTTAATTTATACTTTCATTTTTACATGTGAGTTCCTTTCAGGGCAAGTTCCCAAACTTCCTTAGTACCGTCCTTTCAAGTGGCTTTGTAGCTGTCTAAGGCAGGAATTGAATTGCAGTCATCTTGCTAAGGCTACCCCCTTGCTGCAGGTAACCCAAGCTGCACTGGTGGGTTCACCCGCTCCTGAGGGTCACAGCACACATATCATTACACTAATAGCTGGTTATTAGTCACTGCTGTAATTACAACAGCTATTGGGACATCAACAGCTACAAGCAATGTCTGCCCAACTGGCTTGGAGACTCAGGAGAAACATGGTCCCTGCTTCACACAAGTGGATGATGTTTGTTGATGACTTCCATCTCCTCCTGCAGATAGATGCACATTAGAAACTGTATTTTAGCACCACTCCAGTGTCCAGTCTCTTGTCTGTGCTTTGCTCCGCACCATGGTGTTGGCTACAAGAGTAGTACGAGAAATCTGGAGAGGGGCTTTGGACAAAGAGGCAATGGCTTTAACCTGCCAGAGGGGAGACTGAGATGAGCTCTTAGGCAGAAGCTCTTTCCTGTGAGGGTGCTGAGGCGCTGGCACAGGGTGCCCAGAGAAGCTGTGGCTGCCCCATCCCTGGCAGTGTTCAAGGCCAGGTTGGACACAGGGGCTTGGAGCAAGCTGCTTCAGTGGAAGGTGTCCCTGCCTGTGGCAGGGGCTGGAGCTGGAGGAGCTTTAAGATCCCTCCCTTCCAACCCAAACCATTCCATGACTCTGTATTTTTACAAAGACCATTGGTGGCTGCTGTTGTGCAATAGAATGTTTACTGCTCCTGGAAACAGGCTGACAAACCAACCCTGTACCATGGAGCAGCAGATGGGAACACCCCAGCGCGGCTGTAGGTGGAGGGGAGCTGTGTCAGGCTGTGCCTAACGGGCTTTGGTTTTACTCCCCTCTGCAGGTAACTTTGCTGAGAGATGGCGGAGCACCGTCAGGACGTCACCATGATGGAGGATCATGCAGCTGCTCAGGAGAAGCACATCCCATCAGGTGAGCAGCTCCAGGAGGAGGTGGTGGGAAGCCTTGCAGCCTTGCCCACTGCTGAGAGAAGAATGACCAGCGTGGGGTGTGAGAGCTCCTTTGAGATGTGTGCAGGTCACCCTGCAGCCAGGGGACAGTGGGTCGCTCACAGGATGCTCTTATGTTCACAGCAAGAGCAGAGCAAGCCCTGGTCCCCGACTAGTGATGTCCTTACTGCTGCAGCTTTGCACATTGTGTTTCTGTGGTCACTCCTTGGTTTGCTGTAAAAATCGAGCACTGCTTTTCTTTGGAGACACAGCTCAAGGGTGCTGCTTGCTGCCTGCTTTCCTCACCTGCACAGGGACATGGGGAGAACTGAACAGAGCTCTGGGAGTGGGGGCCATGCAGGAGGCTTTTGCCTCAGATTTCAGACCTGCATTTCTCAAGCAGCTTTCCCTTTCTCATTCCATCACGCTCCATAGCTGAGCTTGGAACCCATGTAACACCAACAGCCCTGTGAGACTCACTCCCAGCTATGCTCCATAGAAACATCATCTTAATTTTCTTTTCTTGAGGTACTTTGGCCACACCTTACACCAGAGAGAATTGTTGTCCTGGAGAGAATCCATAGCATCCATTCATCCCGGGTTCTGTAACTCATTTCAGTCTGGTGGCTCCTCTCTGCTTGTAGCCTCAGCTCTGCACATCACAGGTCCTGGGGTTTGCTTATGCCAGCTTGAATCTTCTTTTCCAAGTCATTTTCTCTAGTTTTCATTATTTAGCTTGCCCAGACTCCTTGCAGAGAGGAGCCTTGTGCCTCTTGCCCTGCTCTTCCAAAAACTGACTTTTGCAACCGACTCCTTGCACCAAGCCCTTTACAAACACTTGCTGGTTTGCAATGATTAGACCTAATGTGTCATGGAAGTGTCCAACAGCCTGCTCTGGTGGCTCCAGAAATGGCTGGGGGGACAACAGGGCCTCAGAAGTTGTACATCCTTTGTGCTTCGTTGCTCAGATCTCCTTTCCTGCTTGGGCCATGCTTTGCTGTTTCTGGCTGTCCGGTTCACTGGGCTTTCTTTTGCTGATGGGGTTCTGCTTGTTCCTTTTGGTGATGACACTGGTGCTTTTGGTTGGCATTTTCATGCTTTGCTTGCTTATTAGTCCAGGATTTTTATACCCTCTAGTTAGTTACTTGCTGCCGTGGATCTGGGCAATCAGAATTCGTGACACACACTCATAGCCAAAGGCCTTGTTGTAAGTATGTGAATGTTTTCCAGGCTATCCCCTTCAGATACCAGTTGATGATGGATCAGATGAGCCTGTTTCTGAAACATCTGACGCTAAGAGCACCCCAACTACGGAAGGTGGGAGCTCTTTGACTTACTGCTTTGAATCCATGATGGATGGGGTCGTGGTGAACCTTGCGGAAGACTCAATGTGCTGTGTTCTGGTGGGGTTCCTTAGGAGCAGTGTCTGCACTCTTGGACAAATGCTCTTCTTTAGTCTCATCACAAGTAACATTCGCCACTCTGCAGAGTGAAATAATGGACAGGGGGTTGGAAGGCAAGGGAAGGTGAAGTGTTTATTATAGGTCAGGAGGTTCTTTGCAGTTTGCTTCCTGGAGACTCTTTGCACAGTGGCTGGAAGGTCCCACTGGCTCAGTGCAGCTGGGAGCAGTCCCGTGCTGTGAGCTCCCAGGGCCAGAGGTTTGCATCCTTGTGCTCCCCCAGAATACTGGCAGCACATCCTGGTCACTGTGTTCTCTCTCAGAGTTACCTGGACCTCACAGCTCTTTTTTTGCCCCCTCTATTCACACGTTCATTGGTCCAGCATGATTCATGCTGCAGTGATGAGATGGGCAGAGTCTATACAGAAACCAAAACTTAGTGCTCATGTAAAGGTCACATTGTAGGACTCGGGGCACGTCTGTGCTGCTCCAGAGTGTTAACTGGATGCCAGCTTTGTAGAATAAACTTGATTCTGAAGGGCTCTAGAGACTTATTCGCCATTTTAATTAAGTGCACTTGTGTTCCTCTGGCTGCTTTAACCCTGAGTATCTGCCTCTTGGAGATGTCAGGTAAAGGCATTAAAGATGTAGCTAAACAAAGGTGGATGGAGATGCTTACCAGTTCTAGCCCTGTCCCGTGGAGGTATGGGTTCTGTTCCCGTGTGTGTGCCTCAAGGACTCAGTACATAGAACCTGGCTGGTGCAGAAAGGATATTGCCCCTCTTTCCAGTTGGATCAGGACTGTCACAATGAGCAGACATCCCTCTGGTAGATGGAGCAGGTATCTACCCGGAGTGCACTGCAGCCATGGTGCTCAGATGGTTTATGGAGTTATCTGTTGAGATATTCTTTCCTGCTCCAGACTAGGGATGCCCTGTGCACAGCATCACCATGCACCCCCATCAGGCACCTGTGGCTGCCTTTAGCTGTGTATTTCCAGTCCATTCATAGTAAAGTCTTCAGCTACATGAGGAGTATGCTGGAGATGTGCGGGCTGTGTGGCAGAGGGGACAGCTCCCGGTGTCCCTGTGATGCTGGCTTGGCTATGTCCTGCTCGGGTGTCTCCCTCCCCAAGCACTGGCTCCAGGGAGGGAGTTTGGTGCCTTCCTGAGTTCTTCAGGCACGTCCTGGCCTCCGCAGGGAATTGCCACTCGACAGCTGTGTGAAAGCTGCATTGTTTTTCAGATGCCACAGCACCTTTAGTGGAGGAAGGAGACCACGAGGATCAGGGTGGTGTCGAGCAGCACGGGGAGATCCCAGAAGGAACCACAGGTGAGGGAGACCGAGGTGCAGTTTCATCTCTTGATGCAGACAGAGCAGAGAGCTGGACTGCTTCATGCTTAAAAATAACACTACGAGACCTCCTGCGGGCGTGCTTTGTTCCTGATGCTTTGCTCCTTCTCCACAGCCTGCAGACATCATTCCTAGCTTACAGTTGTCCTCTTGCCTTCCCCATCCTGGGGGAAGCTCGCAGCCTTTTCTTCTCTCTTCCTCAGCTCCACATCTGCCAATCTTTCTTTCTGGTGTCTCCGTGGTGGCTTCACTTCCCATCTCCAGGCTCAATGCTCACCTGCAGATCCTGTCATCCCTCTGCCAGCACTCTGCTGGCGAGGTGCTTACTGCAGGACCTCGCTGCTTGTCTCATGGGTGCTCTTGCTCAGCCCAGCCCATGCGGGTGTCTGGGAAGTGGCAGGTGAAAACCAGGCCACTGCAGCAGTTCCGTGCCTGCCAACATGTTTGAAGGGTAATACAGAGGAAGTGAAGGGGCTAATTCGGCCTGAATGCTCTGTGTGGAATCACTGCACCTAGGCCTGGTTTTCCAGGGAGGGATGAGGGTCTTGCAGCTCCTGAGAGAGTCAGGTCTCTGTGTGAAAAATGAGTATATGTCCTCTGTGTGGTCAGCATTGGCTTTTCCTGGAAGCATCTGGCAGGTGATGGGTGGAAATGGGTTTCAGGCAGTGCCTGAACACTAAAAGGAGCCCCCAGTGCTCTCCCTTGGGCAGCCACATTGTCTATCCCACATCCAGTGGGATAAAGCAGGCTGCTGGTGGAGAAACACAGAGTGGCTTTCCTACTAGCAAGGATGTGCATTCTCTGCAGAACTGTGACACAGAAATAGAATTGATTCAGCTGGTTTGAAAGGAGTCATATAATACATTGAAACAATTCTGGTAAAGACAGCCCATCATTGCTGGGAAGAAGATTGTGCTTCTCTAATGTACCAGTATTCCTAAAGTGTCAGACTGGGGTTTACTGGTATCAGATAGCCTCGGCAGAGCTCATTACAGGGAGGTAGGTGATAAACACCAAGAAGGTCGAGCTCAGGTAAGAGGTGTTAAGGTGAGTGCTAGGCAGGATAGGAGAGAGGATTTAAATCCACATCCTCCGTGCTCCTTACCAGCCTGTTTCTGCACCCGAAGGAGCTTGTACTAACCTGCCACCCAGGATGTGTGAGCTGTGACATGCTCCTCCAGTCTGGAACAGTTCAGGCTGAATAGATGTACCAGGAGCCACCGTTGGTGTGGCTTGATTCCCTTTCTGCTCCTGCCCTGCTCATAGCACAGATGGGCAGGGTCAGCAGGGAGGTAAATAAATTCTCCAGACACAATCTTCAAACTTAATCCTTGTTTTTATAATGGTTTTCCCCTTCTTTCTCTGAACTGGGAGCAGCTGAAGAGGCAGGTGTAGGAGCCACTCCCAACCTGGAGGACCACGCTGCAGGAGATGCCACTCAAGGTTAGTGATCATCGGTCCCTGGGCTGCCTACATGTGGGGCTGGGGGCTGGGGAATTCCCTCCTGGAAGGCAAATGCTCTGCACTGTATGAGCAGTTGTGCACTTTTCCTTGTTCCTGACATGGGAGGGTCATACCTGCTTTGAATGCTCCAACATCCTCATTTCATAGAACTACAGAATGGTTAGGGTTGGGAAGGACCTTACAATCATCAGGTCCTTCTCCTCAGGCTGCTCTGAATCTCTTCTCTGCCCAGCCTGTAGCTGTGTCTGGGATTGCCCTGACCCAGGGCAGGGAACTACAGCTTTCCGTGCACCACATTTCTCTCTCAGATGGCTGAAGCCCTGATCCTTGTTTGTCCTCCACGCTGAAAAAGGGAATGGATAGCGCTGGGATGGTGTTAGCCAGTTGGAAGTGCTTAGCACTGAACAGAGGCAGTTTTGGGCCCTGCATGTCACACATGAAATAAGTGAATGTTTGAATTATGGTGTCTCTTTCTAATGTGAACCATGTCTCAAACCTACTCCCTGATGCCCTGACTGTAACAGTGGGTTTTTCCCCATCCCAGCCTTAGGGAATGTGACTGGCAAAGCCAGGCACTGAGCATCTTAGAGCAGTAATTAATGCCTCTGCTCAGATGAGCCAAGAAACCATTCAGGGACCTCTTGGCTCTCTGGAAAGCCTCTCTTGACTGCTCAGGCAGGAAAACTTGATGGGATTTTCCCAGAGCACCCAGTGCTGGCTTAATTCTGTGCCCTATGGGGCAGTCACACGGTTCAGACTCACTTTGATGTCGCGTTCTTGTATCCCTGATACACCATCGTCCTAATTTGGTGCTCTGTTTGAAATCTTAGTTAAACCCCATTTGTAAGGTAGTTCTGTGTGCAGGAGACACAAATTCCTCCAGTTGCTTGGGCAGCATCTTTCCTTCTCATGGCTGCATCAGTGCATTTGCAGACATCATGTCTTTTACAGAAGTAAATAGGTCTTTGCCTTCTCCCTGCGGGGCTGAATTCAGGTTGTCTTTGCTTTCCACACCCAGATGAGCACAATTCTGTGCAGACTGCTCCCTGCAGTTAAATTTAAACCTTTCTGCCTCCAACTCTTCAGTATTTAAAACAGTGTTGCTACTACAAGAGAGAAATCAAGACTGTTGGCAGAAGGAGGGTGAAGTTCTCTCTTCTGCCTGCCCTATTCAGTCTGGTTCTAAGCTGCTGTTTCTCACCAGAGTTTTAGTAGAGGCCTTTCTATGCTGCCCTGGGATCTTTCATCTCTCAGGTATGGGGACATAGAGCTCACTGGAGCTCTGATGCAACCTCTGTGTGACACTTGTAGGTTCTTGTGTCAATCGTTACTTCTCTGAAAGTGGACTTGTAATGATTCTCTTGGATTAGGAGGAGAATGTGATTATGGATACCCAAGACTCTGTGTGTGTGTGGTTATCTCGTTCCTGCCTTCATTTCTCCTGTTGTGGGATTAGAAAAACTGATCTTTGCAGTGAAGATGGAGCATGTTAAAATGCTTGTGGAGTCTCAGGTGGAGAAACGTTTCCTGCTTCACACATTGTACCCTGCTGGCATTCTGCCTGCTCTTGACCTTGTGCTGCACATTGCCCTCAGATCCCCTGGCAGCTCCTGGGGGATGGAAGTATAGCAATGAACCCTCATGAGCCCACTGTCCACATCCCTGGTGCGAAGTGGGCTGGGATGGTCAGCTGGCTGCTGCATGAACACCCCCCAGATCCCTGGGGCTTTTTGATGCCATAATGCAAATATCACCTGCCAAGAGGTGCCAGTTTAAGGTTGGTTTCTCCACCATTTCAGAGTTCTTTGTGTGGGAGCTGCCCTTATATTCTCTTAAAACAGGGAGAACATTGATAAGAGTCAGTCTTGACTTCTCTTACTGTAACCTTGTTTGTTAATTTAAGGAAGTGGCAATTAGAATCTCAGTGCTGCAGCCTCTGCTCCAGGCTCTTGAGTTTACCTGATCAATGCTCAAACAGACTCAACACTACTTGAAGCTGGGTAGACTCCTAACACTAGATGCACATTCTTATTGGGGCAGTTGACTTTAAAGCAATTTACCTCCGTTCAGGGTGAATTCCCATTGCTCAGAGCATCTTTGCTTCAGTTGAATGACTTTCTAACAGATAAAAGCTCCAGCTGGCTTAATGCAGCAATTGTTGAGTGAAATTGTGAAGGGCTGTGTCATGCATGAGATCAGCGGTAGAACAGAATTCTGTCTTTTACCCCCTCCAAGCCCCCAAAAGGGAGATCTGTGTCTGTGTGACCTTAGGTTTGGGCTTTAAATGGAACTCTTTCTACTCTGCCCAAATGGCAGCAGCAGCAGCACTGGAGCTCTGATGAGCCTGGGTGGCTGCACAGTCCAGAACTGCTGTGGCTGTGCGGCTGCATGGTCCAGTGGTGGTGGTAGATCAGAAGATGGGTGAGTTCCTGGCTTCTGAGCACCTCTGTAGCTAAAGCAGCTCATGGAGTGCAGATGGTGGTGGTCAGATCCTATTGCCGCCTCCAGGACCAGGTCCATGGAGGTGTCTGATCTCCCACGTGCTGTGGTTGTCACTGTTCCTGATTCCAGGGGGGTCTGAGCTTCTTTGAAGCAAAAGCCACTGTAGAAGCAAGTTGTCTGTACAGTGGGACAGTGTGAGGCTTGCTTTTATCCTGGTAATAGAAATTTTCAGTCTCTCTTCAGCATTATGTGACTGCTGTTTTGATATACCTGTGCTAATTGTCTGCCCATGCTTCGTACCCTGCATCTTCAGCTCCGGGGGAGCCAAGCTCTGCAAAGCCACAGCCTGGCCCCCAGGAGCCTGTGGGAGGTGTGATGAAAGGAGGAAGCCAGCCCACAAAGCAGGCAGCTGGGGCTCTCCAGCAGCCTCTGCTGCCACCTGAAACAAAGGCTACAACAGCAGCTCCCACCAGAATCGAGGTCACCATCCCAATACCCCTGGATATGTACCAAGACTCCAGAGCATCCGAAGACAAGAGTGAGTTGTGGGATCATCGAGGCAGAGAAGGCATTGGTGTAGATCCGGCGCTGGGAGCAGAGCTGGGTCCTGAGGTGCACACTGAGGGGTTGGCAGGAGCTGGTGGCACAGAGGAGACCCATATTAAAGATGGGCCATCTCCTTTATGTACCAGAGCCCCATTAAAAGAAGATGCCAGTGGACAGGAGAGAGATGAAGACCGTGACATTGATGAAATGTCTGAGCAGGGTTTGCTTTCTCTGGTGGCTCAGCATGAAATGGGCTTGTGTCCAGCAGCTAAGGAGGCTCTTAAAGAAGACAAGTCCAAGGGTGTCCTCAGAGACATCCCAAGAGAGGCACTTCTTGTTGAAGCTGAATCACATAAAGCAGAAGACCAAGAGGAGAGGAGACAGCCACTGGGAGATGAAGAAGGTAGAGATGTCTCCCCATCAGAGCCTTCAGAAGTCATCTCCCAAACAGAAGCTGAGCCCAGGGAGGGAGAAGATTCTGGACCCACAGAGATAAAAGATGATGTGCAAGGCAAAGATGCTCCTTTGGAAGAGGTTCTGCCAGGTACAGGAGAACGTCAAACACCCAAGAAGAAACCTCCTGCCCATGTTGCAGATAAAGCCACCAGTCGTGTCCCTCTCCTCAAAGGTGTGTGCTCCATTTGCCTGCCCTGAGCTCACACTGCTGGGGGCTTGCTCACGACAAGGCTGCCTGAACCAGCCCTTCAGCTTGCTGCTACCTCTTGAATCCTGCCGCTTGGGACATGGCCTGGACCTCTGCTGTGAACTGATCTCCAAAGCGCCGCTGCTTCCCCCTCCTGCTCCTTCCCTCTTTAGTTCCACCCCGGATGTCCCGGCACACTCGGTTTGCATCCCTTGCATGGTGCTGGCGTGTCCCCAGTCATGCTTTGTTCACCTGGTTTTGTTTTGGTTTCCCTCGGTCTGTGGGGTAGGCACTTTAACTCACACCCAGGGAAGATGAAAACTGGATGGCCACAGCTGTGGTGTGTTGGAGTGGGGCTAAACCAGTGCTGGTTCCAGCAAGACATGTGCCATCTGGTTTATAGAATCAGAGAATGGTTTGGGTTGGAAAGGACCTTAAGATCATCCAGTTACAGCCCCCTGCCGTGGACAGGGATGCCTCACACTAGGACATGTTGCCTGAGGCTCTGCCTAACCTGACCTTGAACACTGCCAGGGATGGGGCAGCCACAGCTTCTCTGGCCACCCTGTGCCGGTGCCTCAGCACCCTCACAGGGAAGAACTTCTTCCCTATATCCAGCCTGAACTTCCCCTGTTTCAGTTTGAACCCATCACCCCTTGTCCTATCACCACAGTCCCTGATGAAGAGTCCCTCTCCAGCATCCTTGTAGCCCCCTTCAGACACTGGAAGCTGCTCAGAGGTCTCCACGCAGCTTCTCTTCTCCAGGCTGAGCAGCCCCAGTGTTCTCAGCTTGTCTCTGTATGGGAGGTGCTCCAGCCCCTGGTCGTCATCGTGGCCTCCTCTGGACTTGCTCCAACAGCTCCATGTCCTTCTTCTGTTGAGTTCACCAGAACTGCACACAGTTCTCCAGCCTATCGCTGACATAAAGAGCTTCACCTCCTCCCCGTCTGCCTGGCCTATCTCTTAAACAGCCTGTAACCTTCCATCCCAGCACTCCAGTCACAGGAGCCATCCCACCATGTTTCTGTGATGCCAACAATGTCATATCCCCTTAGCTGTGCACACATCCTTAATTCCTCTTGTTTATTCCCTGCGCTACAGGTATTTGTATAGAGGCATCTGAGCTGAGCTCCAAATGAAGCCGACTTCAGGCTCCAAGCATCTATTTTAGGTGTTGGCATCTGACTGGGAGTGTTGGGATGGATTGATGCTCTCTCCCCCAGCACATCTAGTTTAAAGCTGCCTTGACCAACCTGGTGCATCTTACATGTGCCCACTCTCTGGTGCAATAGCTCCTTATATTTGCTTTCTTAAAGAGAAGGGAGGAGGTAAAAGCCAAGTGAGACATCAGGTCTAACCCCACATTGATCCTGTTCCTTGTGCTTTACCCTTCAATACCCGCTACTAACTGCTGCTGGAGGTGAGGTCTGCAGCTAGAAAGCATCCTGAGGCGATGGCAGCTGTGGAGAGCGTGTCCCCTGGTGGTCCAGGGCTGTGTTTGAGGTCTTCTGGGGCGTGTGAGGCCTGGCTCTTGGGTGCATCTCAGTGTTGGTGCCTCTAGGCTGGGCAGTCACTGTCCTGGGTGAAGATGTGAGTTCACACTTTAACACCGGTGGTGTCTCATCACATCGTACCTCAGCTCTGGCTTTTGAGAGTCTGGGGGAAGCTCTGCCCTTCTCCCCAGTGCCACATCCCAAAAGCTGGCTTGGCTGCTTCCATTAGCCTGGAACTGCTGCTCTGCTTTGCAGCAGTGTTCTTTGCTGTGTGGGATTCATGAAGAAATTGTTGATGGAGCTTTTTCCATTGGAACTAAAGCTCATAACATATTTCTCATCGTTCAGTCCCTAATAATCCATCGGGAAGCTGCGCACACGTGCTACAGGCATTGGCATGGCTTAGAATCCCTAACATCAGAGCCTGGAAACCATGGTGGGGTCAAACAGCTTCAATAGGAGGAATAGGAATCATTTTCTTTAATGGTTTTATGGTCTTTTCTTCCTTTTCCTTTGTGTTCATCTCCAGCCTTGCTCCATCTGCAGTGTAACTGGATTTGGGAAGGGTGGTGCATCCAGCAGCTCTGGGAGTGGCTGCGATGGGTCAGTGCTGGATTCACAACATTGTTCATGTCACTGGGAAAGGGCTGACCCACCAGGACAAGTTTCCAAGCCACTGGGGAGAATATCAGCAGCTTTTCCTCCCAGAACAGGGAGGAATTAGCTGAAAACAGGGAAAAGGGTCTTTGTTATGAGTGCCTCATAGTGCAAACATCCTCCCTGTTGCTGATCTCCTAAGCAGCAGTACTGCAGTCTGTGTGCAGTTCTGTGACTAATGGGACAAAACACTGCAATACTGTCAAGCGTCACTCTAAGCTTGATACAAATCAAGCAGGACAAGAGCTAAAACCTTAATACTCTGCAGGGTCTGACCTGGATGCACAGGCTGCTGGGGAGGCAGAAGGCAGGAGACATCGGGTTAACAATGGCCTGGGGTAAAAATGCTTTCAAAGCTTAACAGAGCTCATCACAGAATCCCACACTGGTTTGGGTTGGAAGTTCCAGCCCCCTGCCATGAGCAGGGACACCTCCCACTAACCCAGGTTGCTCCAAGCCCCCTCCAGCCTAGCCTTGGACACTGCCAGGTGCTGCTAGGATTGGGGCATCCTTCATTTAGATGACTGTTAGAACCAATGGGTGTTTCAGGGAGGGAGACTCATGTTTAGGGTCAAAGAGAACTGTTCTGTCCTGAACTGAACAGATGCTCCTGGAACTGAGTGCAAATCTGGGCAAAATGGTTTCATAAAGCTTTTGTGTGTGTGTGTCTGATGTTCCAGTGATGACTAACACACTGTTACCTGTGCACAGGGTGATCTGGTAACCCAGAAAGAACGTGTTTATGCTGTGGAAGTATTTCTGCAAGAAATGAGTGACTGTTTCTAAGAACAGGATTTCATCTAATGGGGAGCAGGACCCTGGAGCACCCACCCAGCATGCATGTGGCTGCAGAACAGGCATTGTCATCTCCCTGGGGTTTACTGGCCAGTCCCAAGGGGTGTAACTCTGTGTGTTTCCATTGCTCAGGTCGTATTGACAGCAAAGACAAGGAAGGGACTGAAGCTGAGGAAAAGAAACCGAAGGTAAGCTAAGAACTAAAACCAGAGGTGCCACCAACACACTGAAGTGCTGAGCACATTCCTGGCTCCCTCTCCCACCCTCCTGGACCACAGCTGTGCCTCTTAGGAAATCTTGTCATTATTTTCCGTTCTTCCATCTCCCTCACAAGAGTGTTTTATGTTTTCTTCCCTCACCCTGGGTTGGATGGTGCAATGCGTGATGATCTTTGAGGGTGAGGAAGGGAACCAAACCTGAACCAAACCTAAACCAAACCTGTAGCTCGTGGGGTTGGGTGGATCTTAGAGAGCTGTTTCCTCAGCCCAAGACTGGAAAGAGGGCAGCTGGCTTTGCTGGGCAAACTGGTGTGGAAGCAGACTCAAGTCCATGTTGGGCTGGAGTGGGGTCAAGCAGTGTCACAGTGAAAGGAGCAAGGCTTGTAATTAAAACTTAAATTAAATAATCTAGGCCTTGCAGGTGAGGAACAGAGTTTGATAGTGGGTAAATGCCAGATGTTGAAAGATCTCTGTCCCGTTGCTTGTTTGAAGGAGGTTTAGTTCAGGTGAGCATTAACATGGCCAGTACCTGGGTGAGATGATGGACAAGCTGATGGACAGGTCAGTGGGTGAAGAATTAAGGGTAAGGAATATACTCATTTCAAACAATGTGAAATTGGGTCTTTCTCTAGGACTGTTGCAGCCAGTTGACGTGGTACCAAGAAATAGTCTAGACAGAAGCAGAGATCCCTTATTGACAGAGCAGGAGGGATGGGGCTGAGAGACCTCAGTGCAGCCATCTGCAGCTCCCAGCAGTGCTGGTGTTGATAGTGCTGTGTCTGCAGCCTCTTTGCCAGTGGAGCACAGGGAGCCTGGGAGGCAATAGAGCAATTCAGGGGGTAAAAGGTGCCATTGGTGTGGAGGACAGTGGCATGGGCAGGCTGGCACTGGTGACACTTCCCCAGAAGGTGCCTGTGTTGCAGCCTATGGGAGGAGTAGAGCTGAGGTATCTCTGGGCTGTGCAGCTCTGTGCTGCAGGGAGAGGGCAGTGCAAGCCATCACCTACCTCACACCAGTTCTGCATTGCACCTTCTAATCCTGTTTGATGTGGGTGAGCCCCTTTTGTTTCCCTCCCATACTGATTTGTGTTCTGTTCCACTTTTATTTTGTTTCCATGTTTAAGAACTCCTCACCCTGCACTGCCAAACCCCCAGGGGATAGACCCTGCATCCCCCCCCAACGACACACCTCCTCTAGCACAACCCCTTCGAAAACACCCTTCAGCCCTGCTTCCACCTCTAAACGAGCCTCTTCTGTCACATCCCGAGCTGCCAGTACAGGAACACAAGAAAGGAAAGCCAAGGTAAGGGGGTGGGGATGGTAGAGAGGCAAAGCGGCCTTGGGGAATACCTGAAGGCATTCTTGACAGGTCTGACTGTTAGTGCTTGGCCAGGCAGTCTCTTTGTGCCCTGTTCAGTGGAGAGGGTGGGATGTGCTTCCCCTTCACGCCAGCCTTGGTGCTCAGGTTTGGTATTTGAAGCAACTGGGTGCATCACACCAGCACATAGGCCCCCTGTGCTGCATTACAGCAAAACCATCTCACTGCTGCAGGGTGGTACCTGCTCTTCCTGAGGCATTTCCAGGGCCCTTTCTTGTTTTGCAGCTTTATGGTATGTTTTATGGGTGCGTTGGCTGTAAACAGCAGATGTATTTGAAATGTGCCAGAGCCAGATCTGCCAGGTGCTACACAGAGCCTAGGGAATGCACCCACATCCCTGTCTCACTTTGCAGTGTAAGAAGTAGCTTGGAGTTTTCCCTTTGTGGTGTTCAGTCGTGCAAATACTCTGGTGGTGAGGGAAAGAGCAGGGATTGCAGGTTGAAGACAGTGGGATGTGGTTTGAGTGTATTACAGGTGGGAATAAAGGAGGTGCTTGGAGTCTGGCACTGTGCTCCTGAATGGAGCCTCTGGTCCGGTCAATGAATTTGGGCCTACAAGAAATCTGGTGAAGGACTTTTTACAAGGGCAAGTAGGGATCGACCAAACCTTTTAACCAGGCCTGAGTGTGAGGTGGATTATGTAGCTGAAGCTAAGGGCTCATGCAGGAAAGTGGCAGGAGTGACTGTGCTGTGCTTGTCATAAGCACCGTGATGGGAGACGGTATAAATGGGCACATTGCAGGTACCTGTGTGTGGGGAGACCCATGGGAGCTCCTGTGGGCTGTATCTTGTGTGGCTCTGATCCATGAAGGGTGATCCCTGGGCATTCTCCCCTCCATCAGCCTTTCCCCTTTGTGTCCCCAGGGCTCAGAGATGAGAGGTGGCACGAAGGCCACGCCACGGTCTGGAGCCGGGCAGGCTCAGAGGAACTCCACCAATGCCACGCGCATCCCAGCAAAGACCCCCACGGCCCCTAAGACACCCCCCAGCTCCGGTAGGTGATGGTGAGCACGGGTGCTGCTGCCTCCCACGTTTGTCTGCTTTGGGGGTGCCCCCAGGCTCTCCATGCAGTTAGGTGGGGGTCACACGCAGCGCTAAGGCAGGGCATGGCCAGCAAGGTGAGGCCAGTGTGGTGACAGGGAGCTGCTCAGCCTTGTCACCAGGCTGTGTGTGCAGAGCTAGGGATGATTCCTCTGAAGGGAGCCTCTCTGGATGCTGCTTTGTCTGCTCTGTTCATACAGTTGCCAGTGTGTAGGAGAGGGCAGTTGCTTTATCCCTTTGGGATTTCCTTCAGTTTGGAAGATTTAGGCAGCTCCATTTGTTAATCCATCTCTTCCTTTTCTCTTGACAATATTTCACCAAGAGCGGGGGCAAGAGGATCAGTTTTTCGAGTGCAGGAATGGAGATTAGCACGTTCTTCTCAGAGAAGAAAACCCCAGAAAGCATCAGGCGTTGAATTCCCATTATAAATGGTGCTTTTCACTGAATATATGTGTGTATACTTCATACTTAACCAGAGCTGCATAAAACCTTGAATCAATAAAATTTCCAGCTTTATTATGTTTAAACATCTTTCTCATTCATTAAACAGGCAGAAAGGAGCAGAAAAAACCACCTCCTGCAGCAGCAAAGTCCGAGAAAGGTGATGTCTAAGAGTTTTCTCTTCTTCCATTTCTTCTCAAACTGGGGTCAGTTCTGAGCTGCTCAATGATCAGCCTTATTTAATGCCATAAAAGTATTATGTATAAATGCTTCCAAATTCCTAACAGAAAAGTGGTTTTATCTATAATTGGTCACTCGTGCTTGGGTGGGGGTCTTACCAATAAGCCAGTCAGTGAAGATATCTTCCTTCTGAAGGCAACTAGGAAATTGCCTTTAGTCACAGTTTTCACCTCAAAATGAAGTAGAAGGAAGTACAGCCATCTCTCCCCTGCTGCTGGGCTGCAGTAAGAGCAGCAGGTGGGCCCTGGGGCCGGGCACATCAACCCCATACAGTCAGACAGTGAGGGAGGAAAGGGTTGTGTACCCACGTTGCTTATCCTGTGCTTGCCTCCCTCTATGTGCGAACTCCAGGTGAGCAGCCAAAGTCTGGAGACAGAAGCGGTTACAGCAGTCCCGGCTCCCCCGGGACTCCCGGCAGCCGTTCCCGCACTCCCTCTCTGCCCACCCCACCAGCCAGGGAGCCCAAGAAGGTGGCAGTGGTCCGCACACCACCCAAATCTCCTGCCTCTGCCAAGAGCCGCATCCAGCCGTCAGCCGCGCCTATGCCGGACCTCAAAAACGTCAAGTCCAAAATCGGCTCCACTGAAAACCTGAAGCACCAGCCCGGAGGTGGCAAGGTAAAGGTGGACTCTGCTTTCCCAGGGGCATGCCTGCAGGGACAGCGGGTGCTTGGTGCTGTGCCTGGGAGGGGAGAGCCCTGCCTGGAGCAGCAGCGGCCCGGCTGGGGTCAGACGTGCAGCAGCGGGCAGCCAGGCTGCAGCTGGTCTCCAGCCTGCTTCTGCTTTTCGAGTCTGTTGGGTTCACTGGGTTGGGGACTTGTCTGAAGTTGCTCGCTGGCTTAGTGCAGTGCAGCTGTCCTGCAGAGAGCTTGGGATGTGACACGTCAACGCATGGACTGGCTGCCAGGGGATTGCCATTCCCTCGTGGTGTCCAGTGAAGGAGAGCACATTGTGACCTGCGGCCCTAAAGAGTCGCAGGGTCAGGGTTGTGTTTCTGCATCCTGTACTGTGGTCTGGAAGAGTCCCTTCAACACTGCCTCTATTCCTCTGTCAGGGAGCAGACAGGATGGTCTCCTCCTTGGGAGGCTCCCAGGCTGGGCACTGTTTTGAGGATGTTGTGATTTTGGATCCAGCTCTGTTGGCAAGATTCTGGATTGTGTTCTGCCGTTAGGCACTGTCTTGCTCCATGATGCATGGCCAGAACTGGGAGCATTGCTATCCATGCACCCACTAGTGCTTTTCACTCCCGGAGAGGCTGTTTCACAAGCAGCAAAACAAACTCTGTGCTCCAGGTGTTTGGGAATGAGGGTCTCATGTTAAATTTTGCAAGCCCAGCAGAGGAGGGTTTGGGTGAGGGAATAGGGTGAGCTAATCCATGCATGCAGCCCCAAGAGCAGCCATGTGGGGTCACACAGCTCCAGCTGAGGTGGTGGCTGCTCATAGAATCATTGAATCCCAGACTGGTTTGGGTTGGAAGTTCCAACCCCCTGCAGGGACACCTTCCACCAGAGCAGCTTGCTCCAAGCCCCTGTGTCCAACCTGGCCTTGAGCACTGCCAGGGATGGGGCAGCCACAGCTTCTCTGGGCACCCTGTGCCAGCGCCTCAGCACCCTCACAGGGGAGAACTTCTTCCCTCTATCCAGCCTGAACTTCCTCAGCACCCATCTGACCCTCTCTGCACTGCTCCCTTGCACTGCGTGGCTGTGTCCTTGCTGCATGGGTAGAGACAGGCCGGCACCTGGTTCCTCTGAGTGGTGCAGGCCCGGTGGCTCTTGTACACATGTTCAGTGACAGACCTGCAGGTCTGATGGCTGCTGCAGTGAGGATTCCCCTCTGCTTGTGCCCTGCAGACATTGCTCTGTGGCTGCTCATGCAGTGCATGCCATGCTGTGTGAGTGGGTAGCTCTGAACGTTTACCTTGGCATGGGAGGAGGTTTGAGATGGCCTCTCTTCCCCATTTTAAATAGCAGCCTGCTTTTCCATTCCCTTCCGTGCTGGTGATTTACTGGGGAATGCACGTTTTGCTTTGTGCTGCAGACCTGGCTGTTGGACATGAGCAGAGCAGCACGTGTCCATCCAGCTGCCTGTGTTTGGGGGCCCTCCTCGTTTTCCTGCTTCAGTTTTTCCTGCTGCCCCCAGAAAATGCTGCTCTTGAGGGCCCCTCACATTCACTGTACATCACTTAAATTGTTTGCTCGTCCTTTTTAATCCTTTTTAATCCTTTTATGAGGGTCTTTTTTCTCTGCATCTCTGTCAGGCAACATGTTTATTGTTGTCACTGAATTGGGGACAATTCATTGCTCTTTGCAGGGGAGAATAGCAGGATGCTCTGCTGGGGATTTTGTAGGACACGAGGCTGCTCTTAGCAGAATGGTTGCAGCTGGAGCAGAAGGGGCTGATTCCACAAGTTTGATTTTAGGGTGGCCACAAGATGGGTCTGGAGCCTGCTCCCAGTGCAGATGCAGACCCCCAGCTTAGGGAAACAAATGACATGGGGCCCACACACCAGAAGTCAGCCGGGCCACATCTTTTCCAGTGTTTCTGCATTGTCTGAGCACTTTTGTTGTTGCTGGATCACTGAGTATGGCTCTGGCAAAGCCTGGTCTAGCTGAACCGCATCCTCATTTGCAGGATTAGCTGGTGTCAGACTTGGTAAATGATGCTAGAGGCACGAGCCAGCTTTGGTGCTTCACTAGGGGGGTAGTGAGGAGCAGGCTGGGGATGTGCTGGGATGGAGGGTGAGGTTGCGTGCTCAGCCAGCTTTGGGGACACTGTTGTCCAGGCACTGCATGTGCAGTGAGTGGGGTGTGGTGCTGCTCTCTTGGAGGATGCTCTGTCTCTGCCTCTCATGAGGGTTGTGCTTCAGATGGGCTTTCTCCTGAGGGATCACAGGCCTTATGTGCCTGCTGGGTTTTACCTCTGGTTTATACTTGCACAGGTTGTAAAGCCACTCCAGTTTGTGTAGGGGAAGGAGCAGGGACAGTCTTCATCTTTGTGTTGTCTGGAATAGCTGCTCCTGTGCATGGGGTCACTCCAGCATAGCTGCACTTCTAAAACCTAGACAGGGAAAACAGCTAAATTAGTACATACTAAATGGAAACAGCTTCATTAGCACAGAAATGTGTGTGTGGTGGGGAGGGCAGGCATGCCTGGGGACTAGAGGGTGACATTAGCGTGGTACGTGCTTCCTCCGTGGCACCAAGCCATTTCCAGCCCCTCTCCCAGGTGAGGTGTGTTAGGAATAGGCAATAGACATGTTGCATCTCCTGCCTTTGGGGTGGGCTTTCTCTCCACTCTTATCTTTCCTCCTTCCACTGAGCTGAAGCTCAGTGCACTGGTGTTTGCTGCCCAGCAAGTTCCCTGGTTCATTCAGTGACAGAATGGGGTGAGCTGGCTTTTTTCTGTTCTCTTCTCACTAGTGTTTATGGCCTGGAAACGCAGGCTGCCTCACTAGCCTGATGTATCCAATCTCTAGCTATAACCTGACCACCTCCATCTTCAGTTTCCAACCTGTGAGTTGACATATCTATGCAGCAAGCCAGATATTCTCTTTAGCTCTTGGCATGGAAGGCAGGTTCCTGCTTGTAGGGGTGTAACACATGGTCAAGCTGCAGATGGTCATGTTGTTTCTCACACTCTTTTCTGGCTACCAAAGGTGCAGATTATTAATAAGAAGCTGGACTTTAGCAGCGTTCAATCCAAGTGTGGCTCAAAGGATAATATCAAACACATCCCGGGAGGAGGCAGTGTGAGTACCTTCACACTTTCAATGCACTATAATACTGCTGATTCTAAGTGGCATGTTGTGTACACTAAAGCGCTGATGCTATCTGCAGTGACCTGCCATCAGATAGCTATTGGTGACGTGCAATGACTCTTTTCTGGCTACTAAAGGTGCAGATTGTTAATCAGAAGTTGGACTTTAGCAGCGTTCAATCCAGGTGTGGCTCAAAGGATAATATCAAACACATCCCGGGAGGAGGCAGTGTGAGTACCTTCACACTTTCAATGCACTGTAATAATCCTGACTCTCAGTGGCATGTTGTGTACACTAAAGCGCCGATGCTATCTGCCGTCAGATAGCCATTGGTGATGTGCTGTCCTTTAACCCCATTAACCCAAAAGACATGGTGAGATGAGCCCTAACAAGTCCTGTACATGCCTGACATGGACAGAACTAACTGACCCGCGCAGCAGCCATGTCTGTAACAAAACATCCCATTAACTGGAAGGTTTGACACTACCTGGAAGGCTCGATGCCTCATTGTCTGCAGGATGGGTGGCCTCTGGCAGACAGTGACGTAGTTGCTGATGCAGTAGGCAGATTTATAAGCAAGCACAGTCCTTGTTGCTTAATAGACTGCTAAATTGCACATGACTGCACAACATGTGAACGTGCAGGTTCCTGCCCATTCCCATCAGGCCAGTATGATCCATGCAAATACTAAGCTTCTGTTTGCTATGTCCAGCAGTGCCCGTGGAGGCTGAGCCTAAAATAATATTGAGTGAATTGATCGGAGCGCTGGCATTTCCAGCTATTCCCAGATAAACAGCTGGACTCAGCTTTCCGTTACTGTGCCAGAAACCTGGAGAAACTCCACAGAGGTTGGTGGATTTACACCAGTCCCTCTGGAGACATTGTGGGTCTGGGCAAGATGATGGGCTGAGGAGGGTGCATCACTGAGACCCCAAACAGTGTGACCCAGGGGCTGTGGTTGCCTGGTCTGAGGAAGCTGTCTGGTGCCTCTCAGATGTTTCTGATGGATTTTCTTTGTGCTGTTTTTGATCCCTATGGATGCCCTCCCTGAGAAACTGAGCATTGCAGAGGGCTTGGCATGTAAGCATTGGGACGTAAGAGGGAGGTTGCAAACCCAGTTAAATTTGCTGTCATTCTGCATTTATTTAACAGGCCAGAGGAGCTGCTTTGCAGAGGTCACACCTCTGTGAAGCAGGTTCCGTGCTTGTTCTGCTCTTTCTTACCCCAGGGTCCTGCTCTGGCTTGGACTGCTTGGTGCTTGGTGGACCACTTGTGACACCAGGAGTTAGTGTTCCTCATGAATCACCTGTGCTGTGGCTGGTTATGAGCTTCAGCACAGTGTGGTGAGCTCATCCTTGTCTCCACGGGGGGCTCACTCCACAGGCAAGCATTTGCAGCTGTAGTGGGTTAAGAATTGTATGGATTTTTGACTGGAGGTTGTCATCCCTCCCCAGGCTCTGCCAGCAGTGAAAATAGTGGGATCACTGCCTGGCTGCTGTGACATGGAGAGCAGCAGCTCAGCTCTGGGTGCTCGGACCAAAGCCATGTGTCAGCGTGGCTGTCCTGGCCCAGAGTTGTGTCTTGGGGCACCTTGGACAGAGGGGCAACGAGAGCACCAGGGCTTGATGGCTGCCACACCTCACCCCTCCTCTGCTGCTTCAGGAGGAATGAGCTGGTGCTGCAGGGACCTGGGGTTGGTACCTCTGTTTTTTAAGCCAGTGGATGCTCCAGCAAAGTGATGCGTTAGGCAGAAGTTGACCTAAGCATTGCTGATGTGGAGAGGTGGGACCCCCAGGTGCCTGTTTCCCAGGCAAGCAACTCTGCTAAAATGGGGAGGCCCCTTCTCTGCTCCCCATCAGGATGGTAAGGGGTTAATGGAATCTGTAAAACGAGAGAACTTCAATTGCTGGTAGCTTGCTCTGGAAATGGGAGGTCTTTCAGTGCCAGGTCTCAGTGGTGCCTGAATTCCTCATAGGCCCTTGGGTCACACTGGGATTAGAAAGGCATCGACTGTCCTTTTGGGATCTGCTTCCTGCCTCCTGCCTTCACTGTGCTTTCCTCCTGCCCTGTGCATCAAAGGTGTGATCTTTCCCCAGCACTGTCTCTATGTCTGTGTCTGCCATGTGCTCCCAGAGCCAGGGATTGCTCTTCTCCCCTCTCTCTGTCTCCACTCTCTGTCAAATGTGCTTTTAGATATGCGTGAGCATCGAGACAAGGTAGGCCCCTGGCTCCATGTGTGGGTAGGATTGGATGGTGGCACTGAGCCTCTCTTTCCCCGTTCTTTTCCTTGCTGCACGATGGAGGGGGAGTGTTTCTCAGTGCTGTGCACAGCCACGGTCCAGCACCTAGCTCTGAGAGTGATGGGGCCAGCAGGAGAACTGGAGGATGCACCTTCACCCTGGGGCTTTTGAGTCAGCACAGGGTGCTTGGGTGCAATGGAGAGCAGTGGCTACAGTGAATCCTTTGTGCTGGCTCTTGGTCCGGAGGCTGCCTGCCTGCTTGGAGGGATGAGCTTCTTTGCTGAGGTCCCTTTGGTGGTGGCACGTCTTTCCCGAGACCTGTGCACTGTGTGCAGCACACAGCGAAGGCACAGAGAGCAGCATATGCTTCCCGTGAAGTCCAGGCTATTGCTGAGAGCCAGACTCTTCCCTGTGAGTAGGAACCGACCTTGAGGTGCCGCTGATCTGGTTTCTCCTGCGCAGCCCCACTAGTACAGCAAGTAGTGTGCTGATTCACACAAAACCAGGGTCCAAGGGCGCTTCTGGCCTTATGGGGATGTTTTCTCACCCCTTGTCTCCTGTTCCTGACGTAGCTGGTGTGTCTGTGCTGTGGTTGCTGTCCCTGACAGACCCCTGCAGTGGTCTGGTTGGTGTTTTCCAGTGTGGTGTTTAAACCTCTAACGTTACCACTAAACAGCTCCCGTTACCCGTTCCTCGTGTCCTCGTGTGTGCGTCTCGTGTCACCCAGTGTCTGTGTGCAAGAGGCCCTGGCCCCACACTGGGCACGGCACCGCCTGGGATGGGGCAGTGTCACGGGATTGCTGGAGATGGGATGGGTAAAACAAGTGAAAACCAGAGCTTAATGTCATGAAATGCTGTTGTGGATCGATAACTGGCATTGCCAGTTGAATTTCTGTAATGGGAACTCCTGCCTGACAGTTAACCTTTGCCTTGCCTTTTTGTTTTTTTTAACCCTGGTTTCCATTACAGCGTCTTTCAGAAATGCATATTTTGGTCACTCTTTTATTAAAAGTTCTGTGCACATTGATCATTTCTGTTCTTTCAGTTTTTGTGGACATAAGCTTTATGTTTTACACCAGAAAAGGTATTTATTTTTTACATTCTTCTCTCTGGTATTATTTCCTTCTTTTGGATGATGTGTATGCAAATCTGAATTAATCACCACTCCACTTTCTCTCTCACTTTAAGCACTTTAAAATTGCCTCTACTTCTCCCCTCTGTGGAGAGGTGATCTCGTGCATGCTGACATGTTAAAGAGAGGCTACTGCACACGGGCATTAATGATCTCCCATTTCTGATGACAGTTTCTTCTGTATCTTTAATCTTCCTGGGGTTTAAGCTGTCCTTTCCCTTGACTCCAGATCAGGTGCCGGTGTGTGTTGTGCCTCCCCCTCCCCACTCGCCCGTGGTGGCCATCCCCTCACTGCCTTCTCCTTTCTCGTACGGACAGGTTCAAATCGTTTACAAGCCAGTCGACCTGAGCCACGTGACATCCAAATGTGGTTCCCTGGGCAACATCCATCACAAACCAGGTACCCGTTGACTCTGCAGCACTGGGTGCGGGTCCTCGGGAGCTCACAGACTGCTTCCTGGTGTGCACTGGGAGATGGGAGAGGGTTGGAGTGCTTCTCTTCACTCCCTGCACTACAGACCTGAGCATCAGAGCGAGCCCTGGGGTGCTGGACACTGCTCCCAGCTCAGTGACTGTTGGATCCTCTCCAATGTGCCTGACTGCTCGGTTGTAGGGGAGGGGTCTGGTGTGATCCGTGAAGGTGCCAGCACCTCCCTGTAAAGGGAGCTGTTTAGGAACACAGAGGGGGGACTGCTGGCGTTCCGTGGGGTCAGGTTAGCTCCCAGCCCTTGGTTCTGTAGAACAATTGAGATGCCTGTCAGCTCTGCACAGCATCCTTTGGAAAATCTGATTCCCATTCGCCCTGGCTCTGGGGTTTCCCCCATCACCCTGGGGTCCCTCTTGCTGCTGTTTTCCTGCTCCTCACCCTCTGCTCTGCCTCAGAGTGCTCTGGTTGAGCCGCCTCAGTCGGCTGGCACAGCAGCTAACCCAGCCCGTGCTCTTCTCTTGCAGGCGGTGGCCAGGTGGAGGTGAAATCTGAGAAACTGGACTTCAAAGATAAGGTGCAGTCGAAAATCGGGTCCTTAGATAACATCAGCCACGTCCCTGGAGGAGGAAATAAAAAGGTAAAGGGGCACTGGGTTGAGAAGAGGCGTTGTTGTTCTGCTGCAGGGGTCTGTCTGCCCTGTGAGCAGGCGTGTGAGCAAAGAGTGGTCCAGAAGGTCCTGCTCACACAGCTCATGTCTAGAGCCCGCGGCCTCCCCTCTCTGCCTGCCAGGCAGCACTTCTTTCCCAGTGCTTGGGACAGTGTTCTAGTGTGGTGTGGTCTGTGCTGCCCTCAGAAGAAAGGGGATCTCCTCTTCCTTCAAGTCGCAGGCTCTGAGCCAAGGCTGACTGAGGGCTGTGCAGGGACTGGTGTGTGCGTGGGGGGACTTAAATTGAGAGACAAAAGCCAGGTCGGGTGAAATACTGAGAACCTGGGGTGAGCCGTTCCTGCCAGGGCTTCAGTGGTGGCTTCACAGGAAGTCTTGGCTAAGTAATGGACCTCTACAACCCCTCTTCAAGGACAGCCACGTCCCTTGCAGGCAGGAGCAGGGCGATCAGGTGAGCACAGAGTTGTGTTTCCAGCCTGGCGGCACACGTGGTTGGATTTCTCTAGGGAAAAGTGGGATTTATCTGCTTGGTTTTCAAACACTTTTTTCTCAATGGGAGGGGAAGTTCTGTTTCAGTTCCTGTGTTCTGGCACTTGGTTCTTGGCCACGTTTGCTCTGTGCACTCCCAGCTCTTTGCTGACCTCTGGCTGAGGGATAGCTTGACTTCCTTACCCTTCTTCTCTCTGCTGCTACGCATCAGACTGCCCTGTGCTTCACTAAGCCCGTTTCCATCATTTTTATTCCAGTGATGATTCTTTCACATCCTGGCGCATTCACTGGGCTGTAGTTTGAAGAACTTGCCTTTTGGAGGGGTAAAGGTGTGACTCAGCAGTGGCATCACCTGCCTCAGCTTTCGTGTGGCAGCTTCCCATACCCTGCCTAAATCCTGGAGGTGCAGCATGAGTTCAGATGCTGCTTCAGATGCCTGCCTTTGTCCAGCCCGTTTTTCCCTTGGCGCCAGGGACCATCCTCAGGCAGTGCTGCTCTGAGGTGAGATGCTCTGTCCGCAGGGAGGGGGCAGGACACAGTTGAGACCCATCAGCCCTCCATGTAGGGTGGCTGAGAGCAGCTCCGCTGCTCCTTCCCCAGCCTTTCCCATGTCTACTCCTTGCTCTGCAACGCAGAAGATCCAGGATTGGCCACACAGTCCCCAGCTCTTCAGGCTGAAGCCTGGTTCCTGTGCTTCTTCCTCTTGCATTGGATTTCCTGTGGGGAGCTGAGTGCTCTGAGCTCTGCCACGTACCTGCGCCCACGGCGGCAGCTCTCCTTGGCTGCACATGGAAGGCTTTCCTCCTCTCTTCAAAGGCAGCTGCTGTTCTTCCTCTGAGCCAGTGAAGGACCCTGTTTTTCAACTCTTTTTCTGCCCAGTTTTCTATTTCCTTTCTCTCTTTTTTGTCCTTTTTCCTGCTGGTTGACACTGATTGGATCTTGGGTCTTGTTGCTGATGCGTTTTTTGCACCCCACCGCCCTGGGCGGGTTTCTTCACCTATAGAGAGAGAAAGGCAAGGAAGACAAGACCCGGCCCCAGGCTGCTCAGACCCCAAGCCCAGACCCTGCTGGGTTCCAGGCCCTGGTGCTGGAGCCACTCAGCCCCCCGGAGAGCCAGCTCCCAGCCTTGCACTTGGCTGGGGAGGGCACCAGTAAGTAGCAAACCTGATCCACTGCACCTCTGCTCGTCAGGAGAAGAGGGGTTTGGCTCATGGGAGCAGCGCTTGGTGGCCAGCTGGGCTGCGGGGTAAGGGGAAGCTTTGTGTGCTATGTGGGAATCCCACCCTTCCCGTAAAGCTTTGCTGGGGCAGTGGGAGCAGCCGCCGCCACACCGGGAAGGATTTGGCAGCATCCCCGGATGCTCCAGTCCTGTTGTGCCTGAGGACTGGGGGGCACTGGGGGCATTGTGCCAACAAACCGAGCTTTCCTCCTGGCTGTGCAGCAGCGACGGAGCCGTTTGCAGGTACAAACGGCCTCGCGTGTGCGGTCGGCATCGTCCCCCCGCTCAGCACCCCCTGCTCTCGTTGCAGATTGAGACCCACAAGCTGACCTTCCGCGAGAACGCCAAAGCCAAGACCGACCACGGCGCCGAAATCGTGTACAAGTCCCCCACCATCTCCGGAGATGCCTCCCCGCGCCGCCTTAGCAACGTCTCCTCCACCGGCAGCATCAACCTGGTGGACTCCCCGCAGCTCGCCACGTTAGCCGACGAGGTGTCCGCTTCGCTGGCCAAGCAGGGCTTGTGATCGCGGCCCGGCGGGCAGAGAGGAGGGGAGACGACGAGAGAGAAAAGAAATAAGAAAGGAAAACAAAACATAATAATCTGGCCTTCTTCCTCTGTTCCTTTTACAGCTGCTTCCCCCCCGTCCCCCCACTGGTTAATGATTTAACCTGCTTTTACTGTTCATTCAGCTCTAGCTCCAGGACTTCAAAATCAGTGACACTATGAGGTAGAAAACCTCCTCTCCCCCTGCTCCTCTGAGCGCACAGCCCCTGCCCCTCCCTGCTCCCCCCTGTGAGGTCCCTCAGCCCCCTGTAAGCTCCCCTGACCCCCTGCGAGGTCCCTCGCAGCCCCAGCCCCGGCAGGGACCGTGTTCACCACCCCAGAACGCAGGGAGGGGATGGAGGGGCTGACCCGACCCCCCCCCTGTGCCGCAATGGGGTCCTCATGGGAAGGGGATGTCGCCTGCCCACTGCTGCCCGGGCTGGAGGGCCGGCCTGCAGGCAGCACAGGCAGGGCTGTGGGTGCCGCAGCCGGGAGGTGCCCTCCCTTCCCGCATTAAATTTGCCTGCTGATTTGGAAGAACCCGTTTGTTTCCCCCCTGCAAGCCGAGCTGTGGATGAAGGTAATGCCAGGCACCCCCAGCCCCGCTCCCAGCTCCGGCAGCTGGAGTCCCGCTTGGCACCGGGGTGGCCCCTTGCGGAAGCGGCCCCGCTCGGCCCCTTCCCCTCTCCGTGGCCGTGCTGGAACCGCTGAGTGGATGAGTAGAGGCTTTCCCCCCTAATTCCTTTGGCAGCCCCTCGTGTCGTAGAGTAGATTTGTCTGTAGCTGCTTGGACCGTGCAGGGTGATTGTTTTCCTGAACGAGCATGTGTTTCAGATAATGCTAATAAACGCTGTCAGTGGTTGTGAGCTGCTCCTGGCGAGGGGGAGGCCCCAGCTCCGGCACCGCATGTCTGCCGGGCACCGGGGGGGGGCCCTGCACCTCCCCAGGGCCGGGATGGGGGATGAGGGGCACTCGCAGCTCCCAGGCTGGGGTGGCCCCCGGATTTGGGTGCAGGTTGTGACGTTTTGGGGTTGTTCTTTCTTTTGTTTCCCCTGCAAGGTCAGCTAAAGGGATGGCGGAAGTGGCAGCTCCATGGCTCTGCTGGTCTCGTGCCTTTGGCAGCGGTAGGAGACAACTGGGAGGACGTGAGGCGGGTTCTTATGGGCAGCTCCCTCTGGTCCCATCCTGCACTTGGGGGCCAGAGGCTGCTCCTGGCACTGCCGTGATCCTGCCTTGAGTTTGCAGCATGTTGCCCCTCACGACGTCCTTCACCCACCACCACACAGGGAGCAGAGCTGGTCCATTTAACCCTCCTGCTGCTTTCACCCCGGGGAGCATGCGGGTGCCCTGGGGCTGCGCTGCGGCCGTCCCCGTGTGCCCCATCCTTCTACAACCAAAGAGGCTGAGAAGTGCTCAGTGCGTCCCCCCTGCCAGGGAGCCCCCAGCGTGGGGCTGCTGGGCACAGCAGGGGTTTCTCAGGGCAGGAGCCGATTCCGCCCCCCAACTGCTGCAGCCTTTGTGGGCTCCAGCGCGTTCCTCTCCGGAGCCTGCCCAGCACCAGAGGAGGACGCTTGTGCTGGGGGGCCAGGGCAGCCCCAGGAGCTGCTTCGCTGCTGGGGAGAGGCTGGTCCAGCACCACCGCGAACCAGTCCCGTGCCAGCCCCTGCGTCTCTTGCGCCGCTGCCTCTCTGATTGTAAAGATGCTGTGCGCCCGTCTGTGACCTGTGTGGGTGCGGGATGGAGGAGCTGCTGCGCTGCGTTAGCCCCCCGTAAAGCAAGTGGGAGACCCCCCCGCTTTAAACCCCGTTTGGCTGCGGGATGGTGCATGGCTGAGCCCCCCCATCCTGGCCCTCGGCTGAGCTCCATCCTGCAGCCCCATCCCCACCGCATCCCCCCAGCCCAGCCCCATCCACCCACCGCAGCGCCCCAGCCACGGCCCCAGCCCCAGCCCCGACCCCACATCAGACCCCGGCCCGAGGGTGACTGCGAGCAGCCAGACCCGGCTGTTCCTTTCCTCCTCACACATCTTGGTGTGAAAAGGGGGAAATCCGGCACCGAGCCCCAAACCCGTGTTTTCTGCACTCAAAAAGATGAATTCCTGATGCTTGGTCAAGCCCTTCCGGTGTCGGTGCCGGCGGTGCGGGCAGCCCCGCGAGGGGAGGGAAGGTTTGATCTCAGTGTATCATCATTTAGCTTAGCTTCTGTCTGTGCCTGTCCATAGTGTGTCGTGCGTTAACAACTGGTTTACACTGTTGCCGTAAAAGTGGATTTGGAAATAAAGTCCTTACTACGAGAACCGGCGCCGTGTCTGCAGTGGGGAGCAGTGGGGAGCAGCGGAGCAGAGGGGAAGGATGGGGGATGAGGGCAATGGGGCTGTTTCCTCAGCTGTGGAAGAGGCCAAAGGCAGCTGCTCTGAGCCCCAGTGATGCCTCACGCTGCTGCCCCAGTTCCAGCCCGTGATCCCCCCATTTACCCCCCCGTTACCCACACCAGACCCACTCGTGCACTGTTTCCAGCCCGGTGCAGCCGCTGCTGCTTGCTTTGGGGGTTGGTTTTCCCCTCCCCTATTGATCGCTCAGACCAGGCCAGGGCTGCCCACGCTGCTGCTGCCTCTGGACCCCCCCTCCCCATCACCACCCCAGGCACCATCATCACCTCCATCACCAGCCCCATCCCGCGGCCCCTCCGCTCCATGGGGCACAAGCTGAGGTTCCCTGCTCTTGCCTGGTCAGGACTTGGCTCCTGTGCCCTGCAACCCCCCAGCGCCCACAGCAAAACCCACCCCGAGGTGCAGTGACCCCAAAGCACCCAACACCCCCCACCCCCTCCCCCCGACCTTGTTGTAAAGGGGCGCGGAAGCAGCGGATGCTGCCCCGCATCCGTCCCCCCCCGCCGCTCACAAACAGACGGCACCAAAACGCTTGGTTTTAATGGTGGTTTTTTTTTTAATCTTTTCTCCTTTTTTTTTGATTTTTTTTGTTTTTTATAAGCACGTTCGTGCTTTGCCAACAGAATCAAGACATTAACAAAGATCAGCTTCTCGGAAGAAAAGCGTTTCTATAGAACAAGGACATTACACAGCTCAAAGCAGGAAAAGAAAATATTTACAAAATACAAGGTGGGGGTTATTTTTTTTCTCTTTTTTTTCATCATTTTTGTGGTTTTTATAATGCTAAAAGGGTTATTCAGAATTTTCAACCTTATAAATAGAAAAGCACTTTATGCGCAGGGCTATGGGAGCATCAGTTTGGGGGGGTGGGGCGGTGGTTTCGTGTGATGAAGAAACGAGGATGAATCCTTTCAACCAGAACAGAACCAAACCCACGAGCTCGTGTTGAAAATTGTGAACACCCCCGACCCTTGAGCAGTTTTAGCGACGATTTCATTACAAAATGAGGGCAAAAAAAAAAAAAAAAAAGAAAAGAAAAAGAACAGAAACGGCCTCGGTTGTGGGTTTTTTTTTTCCTTTTTTTTCCTTGTTTCTGGGGGGAGGTGGGCGCACACAGGACAGGCACGAGTCCAGCGACAGGACAGGGACCGAAGCCACACCGCGGGCACGGGCAAGCGGCGCAGATGGGACCGGTGCGCGGGAGCCGCTGCGGGTGCGGGAGCGAGGAACTCGGTTTCCAAAGGAGCAGCGCCCCAAGTGAACGGGTTCGATGCCGGCGCTCGGCCTGCGGAGCCGGGGCAGCCCCAGCACGGCCCCCGCCAGCCCCTGCGCCCTTCTCCCCCCTCTCCCCCTTTTCAGGCCCCCGGGACCGCTCCCTCCGCCCCAGGGCCCTCACCCCAACTTCCAGCCCCATCGGGGATCCCGGGGCTCGAGCATCAGGCACGGACGCGCCTTTCCCAGCTGGAAGCTGCTGTTTGTCCAACAGCAACAGCCCGGTCCCCAAAGGGTGTCCCTGGAGCGCATCCTGTGCTCGCTCCAAGCGCCGGGGATGGGGCCTCTCCCCTCCTTCCACCCCGGAGGAACACCCCAGGTGTAACAGGGCTGCTCCCGAAATCCCGCTCCTCCAACGTGGCTCCGTCCTTCCCTCCCCGGTGGGAAGGGAGCTGCTCCCAACCCAGGGGAGAAGGCAGGAGGTGGCCCAGGGGCAGAGCCCCCCTTTGGGATACCTGGAGCTCCACGCGAGGGGAAGGGACAGCGATGGCTGCGAGCCCAGGACATCGCCCCTCAGCACTGACCCCACTAAAACCTCTCCAGGAGGGGTGCGGAGGAGCCAGGCTTCCGCTGGAGCCCCGGCCCCGACCACTGCTCAACCCCGGGCTGAGTTCATGCAGCTCAGAGGGGAGGGCAGGGAGAAGGGAGGCGGCTGGGGGCTGACCCCTCCCTGGGAGCGCTCCGGGGGCTCATTGGTGGGACACGGAAACACGGAGAGAAAAAAAGAAAAAAAAGAAAACAAAACAAAAAACAACAGGAAAAAAAAAAAAAAGGAAAACAAACGAAAAAAAAAAAAAAGAAACCAGTTTCTAAATTCCTTAAATTCACTAAAAACTGTGAAAATTCCCGGCAGGATGTTTGAATATCAAACGCAGATTTTGGAAGCTTTAATGCCAAGAGTTAGTTCTGTGTTGGTTTTGCTCATGTCTTCCCGTGTGTCTCTATCTGTGCGCTGGCCGCTGAACTGCTGCGGAGGAAGAGGAAGAGGAGGAGGAGGAGGAGGAGGAAGAGGAGGGTGTCGCTGGGGGGGGGCGGCTCTTGAGGCTGCCCGGGTTGGGCAAAGCGGAAGTGCCATCGGGCTCCCGGCAGGATTTGCTGCCCGACGTGCGCCGGGTGCAGCGCGACAACCGGTCCTGGGGGTCACATTGGTCCTCGCACTCTGTCCGGGGGTCGTACGAGAGCGGGAAGGTGCGGCGCTCCCAGGGCTGCACGGCCTGAAGGGGAGAGACGCCAGGCTATGGAAACCCCTCCGGGAAAGCTCCTCCTCCAAACCGAAGCCACTGCTGCCCGCTCCCCACGTCCGATGGAACTTCCCATGTGCAGGCTCCCAACTGCATCCCCGCAGCGAAGGGGATGAGCATCACCTGGACCGCCCCATCCCACCGCCTCCAGGAACAAGCCCAGAGCCGGAGCCAGGACCCACCTGCTCGTCGAAGCCGGCCTCAGGCGTGGAGCACCGAGTGTCCTCGCTGGAGAGGAGCCGCATGGAGTCCCGGCAGAGCGGGGTCAGGGGGGCAGAGAGCAGTTCGGGGCTGATGGGGCTGCGCGGAGAGTGGCTGTGGGGCAGCTCCGGGTGTGAGAGGCAGCTGCCCACGTCGGGGGATGCCGGCTGCGGGGTCGAGGGGTTCCCCAGCTGAGGGGTCGTCTGTCCGTCCGTCGATCTGTAAGACCTGAGGGAGGAACACGCCTCAGAGCCCGGCTCGGTCCCACCAACACCGGGGCTCCAGTGCCACCCCAGGGACTCGGCGCACTCGAGCTGGGGATGCTGCTGCCCAGAGCTGAACTCATCCAGGCTCAGCTTTGTCCCATCTCCAGTCTCGATGCGGCTTTTCCCCACCGACGCTGCTCTCCCCGGGTTACGAGTCCCACACATCCCCCACGCTGTGAGTGCTGCAGCAGCACCACTGGGGAAGCCACCCCTGAGATCAGAGCTGGTTTCTCTGGGTGTTGCCACCATCCCAGTGCCACGTGAGGCCATGGGCGGTTCAAGAACAGAGAGCGGTGAATCAGTGATGCTGCTGATGCAGGAGGAGGAGCACTGCAAAACCTCTGCGCTCCAGAACACTTAAACCAAGCCTTAAGGAAGTTTGAGCACCTACAGAGATTCCCAGGCAGCAGAGCCGCAGGCTGCAGACAGAGAAACCCTGTCAGAGCCCCCCTGTCCATGTGCAGCTCCTCAAGGTGAACTCAAACACCAAGAGGCAACCAAAGGCTGCCAAGGATCAGCTTCTGAAACCTACCTGAGCCAAGAGCTTCACCAGAACACACAAACCCAGCCCCAAGCAGGCCCATACAAGAGCTGTACCACAGCAGCTGGAGGCACTCAAGGTGCTCCATCAAGGAGCTGTTTAAAAGCTGCTACACGGAAAAGCCAAACCCAATCCAGGAGGCAGGGATCTGCTGGAGCAGCTCGGAGGCAGACACTGAAGGGGAACCAAGTGAGTTCACCCCAGGTGTTGCCTGGCCCAGGGACTCCACAGCAAGGAGCAAACATGGGCTGAAACACACCAGTACCACCACATCCCGGCCAGCAGAGCAGGGACACCAATGTCCCAGCCTCTCCCTGCTGGCGACCTGCGCCTGGAATACTGCCCCCAGCTCTGGGGGAACCCCCATTCCTTGGCCATGGCCAAGCTGCTCTCTGCCGCCAGCAGGACCAGAGAGGCCTCTTCCTGAACCCCTGGGATGAAGCTCCGGGCAATGGGTGAAACGGGGCACGAATGGAGCGTGGCAGAAGCTGCCTTTGCATCTGCAGGAACCTGGCACAACCGCAACCCCCAGCAGGGCAGAACTGAAACCGCAGCCAAAGAGAAGCGGGCGGGCGCCTGCCCCAGCTGCAGCTCAGGCGCGCTCAGCACCGCTCAAAGCGTTGGAAATCAACTGGGGAAGAGCAGATCCCTCCTTGTGCAGGTTTCTGATGAGCTCAGCAGTTGGAAGCCGTGAGCTCTCCCAGACACCCACTCACAGACCGGCACTGCAGGAAGGGACCCTAGCGTCAGGGGAGCAGAGGAACGCGAGGACACGCATGGAACTGGAGGCACTGCTCAGTGACTGAGCTGAGAGATGCAACAGCACCAGGCTGGGAGCCACCACTGCTCCGTGCTCCTGCAGGAAGGACGCCCCGCTCAGCCCTCATTGCCCTCTGTACTCCTGAGCTGGTTCATCCCTCCATGCTTCCAATCCAAATGGACAGCGCTGATGTGGAACTTCACTCCCCCCTCGGCAGGACTGCTCTTGAGGATGGTGACCAAACCACGTAACAACAGCATGAGGTTTTAACCGTCTCCATGGATCTGACCACTGCATCCCACTGCTGGGAATGGCACAGGGGCCACCAGGAGCCCCCTGCACCACGCTCTGTGCACTCGAGTGCTGCGGGTACCTGCTGCCGCGCCGCTGCGGGGGCACGCTCGTGCTCCAGAGCCACCGGGCCCGCTCCATCTCCTCACACTTGCTGTGCCGAGCAGAGAAGGCTGCATCAGACAAGTCTTCGACCTGCAAGGGAAGGGGACAGGCCCTGGTCAGAGCTTTCCTGTGTTAAATAAGCACCCACGGGCAGTCTGTCCAGCATTTGCTGCAGTGTGAATGCAAGTTTATGTGCTCTGGAGGGAGGCAGATGCCATCAGTGAGCAGCACCTTGTTAAACCGAGTCTCCAGGAGGAGACCTGGAACCAGGATCCAAAGGAAAACCACTGATCCCAGGATGAAAGCATTCACAGGGCTTTAAGGAAATACCATCATTATCAGTTCAGCTGAAATAGTAACAACGACTGCTCGTGATTCCTTCATTAGTGTTCTATAAAAAGACTGATGCCCAGAGAGGTCTCCCGGCAGCCATTAGAGCCCAGACCCAGCAGTACCCGGGCAGTAAATCCAGCTTCTGCCTGATCACACCCTTCCTGCAAAGGAACCACCACCCCCAGGCTGGTTCTGCCAGGCCAACAGGGCCATTGTGCTGCAGGAAAGGACGAGGCCCCTGCATCCACTCTCTTAAGCATCCCTCGTGGACGCTCTTCAGCTGCTGCCAGCCCCATCTCACGTTAAACTGGTGATAAAATCTTTCTCACCTCCTCATTGTCTTCATCAGGGTTTGCTTTCAGAGCGCTGATATCCACTTCACGCCAGCTGCAAGGCAGAGAGGAGAGGGTGCTCAGCAATGGACACAGCACTTGCCCTGCACACACCAACACTGTCCTTTGGGGAAGGCGAAAACCAAACCTGCCACCATGAGCAGCAAACTTAGGCTCAGTTTTAAGCCAAGTGGCCAAATCTGTCTGCCCAAACCCCTCCTGTGCTGTCAGATGAGGGTTTCTCCCCTTCCCCTGTTTCATCTTTACACAGTGGGCTCACACCCACTGAGTGCAGGGCTGGGGGAGAGGCAGGAGACGTCCTTGCCATTGGGAGGGTCAGGAATGGAGAGTGAGGCCACCAGTGTCCTCCCACTGCATCCCAGATCCTGGTACTGCTGCAGCCAGCCAAGGACAGAGGAAGCAGAGCAGATGCTGCAGCATTTCCTCCTCTTCCCCTGGCTGAGCAACAGGCTCCCTCCCTGCTCCCCCTGGGAAGAGCATGGAACACCAGGAGGAAGATGGAAGTAAGCTGGGAAAGACACATGGAAAACTGGGGAGGGCAAAGAAGGCCTGGGAACGGGGCTGCTTGAACCAGTGCTGCAGCATGCCAGCATGCTCCCACCCAGCTCCCAGGTCTCATCCAGTGTTAATCCAAGAACATCCAAACAAGGGCTCACCTCTTGCACTCGGCTTGGGCAGGGGAAACTTCCAGTTCCCACTGCCCAGGCATGGGAGAGCTTCTCCTGGTGGTGAGACCCAAGCCCTCCTCCTGCACCCCAATGTTCACCCAGCCCAGGCACCCACCACCCAGCCTGGGCACGGGCAGGTGGGAACCACCAGGGACTCTGGCTCAATGCGCTTTGCATTGCAGCAGGACACAGGACAAGAGGATGGCTCTGCACAAGGAGACCTGACTTAGCAAGTGTCCATCAATGGTACAATCAGATGTTTTCCAAACTTCCTCTCATTTCCAAGGAAGAAGAACCACAGGAGCTGGCATGAGGCACATACCTGGGTGTGAGGATCTCTTTGTATTGCAGTTTCTCCACACGAGTCGTTGCAGCAACGGACATTGGGATGACAATGTTGTTAATATCAAATGAACTTTCGCCTCTCCTCCTCCTTGGCTGCTGTAACATGAAGACAAGAACCAGCTGAGAAAGGGTCACAGGCTTTGTTATGTTAAGCCCTTAATGGGGCATGAAAAATGATGTGGCCTCATATAGAATGGCCTTTTATGACTTATGGGCACTCCAGAACCAATGTGCATCAGAATGAGTTCACCTACTGCTTCCTGGAAGAGCTCTTCCCAAGCAGAAATCCCTCCTGTCAATCTAAAGGAAGCAGGGAGACCATCAGGGAAGAACCATCCTGTCTGGACACAGCTCATGGCCCTGCAGGGGCCTGCACCCACCACAGGTGCCACTGTGGCAGAGGAGGAAGGAATCAGACGAGTTCATGTCGGGTTCTGGGAGCTGCACTAAGAGCCCAACAGCTTCCATCTGAATCGGCCTTTGGACTGGAATAGTCCTCCTAAGACAGAAATAAGCTCCACACGTATCTATTTAAACCTGGTTGAACACTGGGTGCTCTCCTACCATCTGTCTATTCAAAACCCTCCCCCAGACGTGTGACAGCAGCGCTGACAGCGCAGCGACATGAATGCTCATGGACCAGCTTGATATGCAAACAGTCCCTCTTCCTAATGGAGCCACCTGCCATCTACCAGCGTCTCTGGTGTCTGCTGTCCTGCTGGGGACCTGCCACAGCCAAACCCCAACACTACTTAAGCTGGGTGAGGATACAGTGGGTGGGCACCTACTGCCCTGGCAGCATGGAAATCCCATCATGGCACTGTCAACAGTGAGCCTTGACTGAGCCACCAGGGAGCAGATGCAGACCTGCACTAAACTGGGATGCTCCAACCTAGGTCTAGTGGAAGGTGTCCCTGCCTGTGGCAGGGGGTTGGAACCAGAGGAGCTTTAAGGTCCCTTCCAACCTAAACCAGTCTGGGTTTTGATGACTCCAGGAGGCTGAGCATGTCTCAGAACATGGGGTGAGTTCAGCAACTGCTGCGGCAGAAACCAAAGCCCTGACATGGAACAAAGCCAGGGGCCTACGGAGAACAGGAACATCTGACCAGCTGACAGTGAACCTGTAACTGCAGCTGACTGGCTCCGCACAGCCAACATCAATCCAGGAACCCCAGCAGACCCACAGTCAGAGTAAAAGGGGACCAGCAACCCTACCAGCAACTGACCCGGTGGGCTCAGCATGCCAAGAGAAACACCAAGCATTCTCAAGCCTACGATGTGATGGAGCTGAGCTCAGAAACCCCCCAAAGGCACCAGATACTCACAGCGGTGCTGGAGGCGCCCTGTGAGCTCACACTGGCAGGAGCAGAGCCTTCTGAGGAGGTGGACAGTTGCCGGGCTATAGGGCTGTGAGGTGTGGGGCTCGCAGCTGCTGACAAGTAGCTCGGGCCGCCGACGTCCGTGTGATGCTTCAACACTACACAAGGAGGGTGGGAGAAAACAAAGGATGACGTTAGCAAAGCAACCCCACAGGGCAGTGGAGGTGGTGGAGAGGAAAGGACCCTGTGCACCAGAAACGGCCCGTGCTGAGGAGCACCTTGCATGAAAGAGAAGCACCTTCTGATGGTGGCTGCCAGCTCGAGAGGCCCTGAGGGAAGAAGCAGTTAGAGCACACGAGGCGATGCTGCGGTGGTGCCAAGGCCCAGAAGCAGTGCGCTGCCCCCGCTCCATGGCTGGAGGGGGAGAGAGGGGCTGGATATGCAGCAAAGCCCAAGCTCCCCCCGAGAGCCCTGGCTGTGGGAGCCTACCTTCACTCCTCTCAGATGAGCAGTCTCGCAATCGCTTTTTGTCATGGGCAGGAGGCTGGACAAGCGAGCGCTCTGGCGCTCTCTCGGCCTTGGACACGGCCGTAAAATCGTCTAAGGGTGGCCTGTGTGCCTTGTCTGCTTGGGCTTTTTGATGTGAGCGCTCTGAGGAGGGGAACAGAGAAAGAGCTATGAAACGCCTGCGTTCACCTCTCTTTCTGCTGGCACAGGAGGCTCGGGCAGGGTTCACCAGCTCCACAAATCCAGGTGGGCTCAAGACCATCAGGGCGCTGAGCTGTGCTCAGAGCAGGACGAGCCTGAGAACTGCCCGTGCTGGCGTGAGCACAGCCTCAGAGCGACAAGGGGAGGCCCCTACGCACCGGCACCAGCCTGAGTTCAAAACCTGCACACACGTCACCTCCAGCCTCATCCTCGAGAGCTCACTCGGAAGGGAATCAATCCTCCTCCTCCTCCTCTCCCCACTCAGCTCCAGGGCTGCTGGACACGAAAGCACGGGGAGGCAGAGAGGGCACTTACTGGCTGCAGTGAAGAAGGAGTTCACCAGCTTGTGGCGGTCCTTGCGAGCAGGGTCAGGCAGGCTGCTGGGGGGCAGAGGGGCTCTGTGCTTCAGCGAGAGCTTTTTGGGTGGTTTCACCTTCTCGTAGGGTTTGTTCTGCCACTGAGACTTCAGCATGCTCTGGAAGTGCAGGCTCGTGGGCACATCTGCAGAGGGGTGCAAACCACAGCATTCAAGTTCATTACAGGATGCGCCAGGAAGCTGTGGAACCATCATCATCCCAGTAAGAACAGCCCTCAACAAACACACAGGCATCACCAGGAGAGCCCAGCCTTGCCTACACCTTCCTCAAGTTCAGGAGGACCCGCAGTGTAAGGACCCAAGGTTTCTAATCTGAAGCTCTCTGAGAGAAGGACATTCCTCCAGGATTCACAACTCAAGTATATCCTGGCAGGAGAATGAAGCCTTTGCCAGGCAAACCATGTGCCTAGCACTGAAGGGACCTCGTGTACTGCCACGCTCAGTTCTGCTGTCTCAGATCTGACTTTCAAGAATTTGAGCTATCTCAGCACATCAAATCTACAGAGGTGCAGGCTTGGAAGAGAGAAATCCAATTTAAACCCCTAAATTCAGATCAAGCCAGAAGCCAACCAACTACTGTGACATTCATCTGCCTGACATGGCACCTCCATCATCTAACCAAGGCTGTGTGAGTACACCTGAGAGGCTCCAAGAGCAGAGGTGCTGCTGCAGCTCCCCATGCAGGGGTTGGGTCAAGCAGCACCGGGGAGCAGACAGGTAATGATTTGGTAACTGGTCCCCAACACAGGAGGGACATGGAGCCAGAGGAGGCCATGGAGCTGCTGCGAGGGCTGGAGCAGCTCTGCTCTGGAGCCAGGCTGAGAGAGCTGGGCTGGGGCAGCCTGGAGAAGAGAAGGCTCCTGAAGGGGAGACCTGAGAGCAGCTCCAGTGCCTGAAGGGGCTGCAGGAAACCTGGAGAGGGGCTTGGGACAAGGGATGTAGGGACAGGCCAAGGGACAGGCTTTAACCTGCCAGAGGGGAGACTGAGCTGAGCTCTTAGGCAGAAGCTCTTCCCTGTGAGGGTGCTGAGGCGCTGGCACAGGGTGCCCAGAGAAGCTGTGGCTGCCCCATCCCTGGCAGTGCTCAAGGCCAGGTTGGACACAGGGGCTTGGAGCAAGCTGCTCTAGGGGAAGGGGTCCCTGCCTGTGGCAGGGGTTGGAGCTGGGAGAGCTTTAAGGTCCCTTCCATCCCAAACCAGTCTGGGATTCTATGTCCCAAAGAAGAGCATGGGGCCAAGCCAGCCCTTTACAGATGCTGCAGCATCACTGTGCTGAAATGGCCTGGCTTTGGGACAATGGTCTCTTCTCCTGGGCCATCTTTTCCTTTCCCCTCAGAGCTGAGTCCATCTCAGCACTCCTCATGGCTGCGGGAAGAGAGGATGGGTTGAATGGAAGCGAAAAAAAACAAGACAAAACGTTGTCAGCAGAAAGCGTTTGCCACTGCCCTCTGCCAGCTCCGGCTGCAGCAGAGCCCGTGCAGCGACACCATCGGCCCTCCTCTTCCTCCTCCTCCTCCTCAGCCGAGCGGTGCAGGCCTCCCGGGGACCAGCAGATGGCAACCGCGGCGAGCCCGGCTCTCGCCATCCTCACCAGGGTTATTACATCATCCGAAAACTCCCAGCGAGGAACCAGAGAAGAAACCCCCCAGAACGAGTGGGAGGGAGGGGACGAAGCCAGGGGATGGGGATGGGGTAAAGGCTGCGATGCCAGCAGCAGGAATGATCTTTCCTCCTCCCGTGGCGCCTGGCAATCCTGCCCTTGGCAAACTGCTCCAGAGATCCCGGCTGCTGGCACCGGAGGAGCCCGGAGAGACCGGCTCCAAGTGGAAGTCAGCACATGCTCCCTGCTCCCAGGCCAGGCTCCATCCGAGAACCTCACCCGCTCCTCCAGGAAGCCCCTGCCCATGGAGCAGTTCCCTGCCACGGTCAGTCCCCATAGCGAACCCTCACAGGCATGGGGACACCTCCGTGCTGCCTGGAAAGGCCAGGCACAGGAATTCCCAACCCTGCACACAGTGCCTGGCTGGATGCGTGCAGACAGAATCAACCCCATCCCCAAAACCCCAAAGCTTTTCATCTCCTACGGTCAGAACGGATCTATCACTGCGTGAGCTGCCTGCAGCTGACCCCAGGGAAACGGGAAGTGAATGTGGGATGAGAGAACTCAGCCTGGGTTAGTGCAAGGTGTCCCTGCCCACGGCAGGGGTTGGAACTGGATGAGCTTTAAGGTCCCTCCCAACCCAACCCATTCCATGATTCTATGGTTCTGATGTGCCTGGTGGCTACGCTGCAATACACACAACAGTCTTTTCTCAGCACTTCCTAGGATACCAGATTGAACTCTACGGACACAGAATTACAAGTGCTGTGAAATCAGGAAAGAAATTCCTGCTTTGGGAGTTCTGAGTGCTAAATTCCCGCAGTGTTCCTTACAGAGATGTGCCTTTGGGGTAGGGGGGAGGGATTCAGTTAATAATAATAGCACAAATTGACTATTTTAGTCTGTTTTAAATACAGTGCTGCTAGGAGATGCCAGATTAATTGTTCCCAGACACTCTGTGCATTTCCTGCTGTCACACCAAGTCTGTGCAAAGCTGGATTTTAACACAATCCCCCCCCATTAACCCTGTGTCTTAACCTGGACCAGCCACTTCACATCCCCACGAGGAGCCGGGACGCACACCCTCCTCCCAGCACCACCAGCTCTGTTCTACACCTTGAGCAGCCACATTCTCCTATCAAGGAAAGGAACTGCTGTGATTTACTCACTCTCCTGACAAAGGCACTGGCTCCTATCATTTGTGGTGCTTTGTTTTGTGACCAGAGGAAAAAGATGACAGATGGGCACCAATCTCATGCAAGCCAATAGTTTTTGGTCAAAGAACAGGCTTGCAGTTACTTTGGCAGCTTAGGAAGCAGGAGATTCTGGAAACTACTTATTTTCCCTTGGGAAAAGTCCCTAGACATGAAATGTGTGACTGCCCCACAGCCAAGGCTGGTTAATTATTCCTTGTAATGATGATTAACCCTGATACATAACAGGGAAACAAGTGTCTTAAAGGGAACATCCCTTCTTACTGTACCCTCTGAAGCATGAAAGTTCATTTACAACTCCTTACGAGGTCAAAAAGTGACTTAAACCAACCCACAAATAACTGTATACGGATGAATAAACTCTATAGAAGCAAACACGTCTCAAGGGGTTTACAGCGACAAAGACGCAGGTACTGGAACAGACTCCCAGGCACTTGGTTTCTCCAGGTCAGGTTCCTGTAACACGTGTCCATAGCAGAGCTGATGTCAGCTGGAATGATTTCCCAGGCCCTGCCCCTCCCAGTGTCTGCTGTAAATGCTCTACTCCTAAAAATACCTGCAGGTGAAGGCTCAAGGAAGACCTTAAAGCAGCTCCCAGTACCTTAAGGGGGGCCTGCAAGAAACCTGGAGAGGGGCTTTGGACAAGGGCCTGTAGGGACAGGACAAGGGGGAATGGCTTTAACCTGACAGAGGGGGGACTGAGATGAGCTCTTACCATCTGGGAATGACAGGACAGGATGAATACATGAGTCCAGCTGGGAGAGGCGCTCCAGCAAGGGGGCATCGTACTGGATTTCCAGAGTGGCTGCACTCCGAGTGCCACACAGAGCACATGAAGGGTTCACGTCACAGCTACATCGCACCAGGCTGTTACGATGGACCTGAGCAGGGGACAGAGAACAGCGTCAACGTATCAGAGGTCTAAGGGCTCTCTTGCCAAGTTCCATTTGAGAGCTCATGAAAAGCACCCTGAAGGCTGTTGGGGTTTCTTTTGTTGGGGTTTCTTTTAAATACTTTGTATAAAACCTGTTCATTTAGTCTGGACTCACTCTGCACAAACACAGCTGAGAACTGCTACTCACCAGCACAGGCAGCCCCACATCGACTCAACTGGCCTAAAAGTGTTTGATTTTATCTAGGTTGAAACCTCATCTATAAAAACCATGAGGCAGCAGAATTCAGTTGTCAGAGAGGGGGAATAAAAGCAAAGCCCTTTGAGTTCAGATGGGTCAGACAGATATCACTGTATGCCAAGCCATCTGCTGACACTTACAGGCACATCTTCAAGAACTGGAAAAGGGTGGGTTTTGAGCTTCGATTCACAGATTTATAGACTTCATACAGACATCATTTATATGAAACCAGTGTAGGCAGAGGCACAACGGGATGTAAATCCCATACAGAGACAGCAACCTACGATGCATCAAAGCGGAGCCTGCAGAAGTCTGTTCTGAGGCTAGCAATCCCCAAATAATTTCAATTAATGACATCAATGATGGAATAGGTATCTTTGATCCTTAGCAAGTAACACCAGCACTGGGAAGGGCTGGAAGCACCTTGAAGGGAAGAGCTAGATACCCACTCACGGTTACAATTAAGAGAAACAATCCAAAACAAATCAAGTATCATCTATGCCAAAAATCATGTATCACTGAGGGCAAATGCAACAAGTGGGCACTTCAGTGCTCAGTGAAGAGGAGGAAGGGGGAACTAAGCAGCAGTTGTGCCCAGAGGATCTGGTGGTTGCTCTGGATTAGACATGAGGGTGAATCAGCAGTGTTGTACCATCACTGAGAATTAACCGCCTGCAGGGCTTTATGAACAGGATGCTGTGCAAGACAGGAGGTAACCCTGCCCATCAGGGCCTCTAGGGACAGGCCAAGGGGAATGGCTTGAACCTGCCAGAGGGGACACTGAGATGAGCTCTCAGGCAGAAGCTCTTCCCTGTGAGGGTGCCGAGGCGCTGGCACAGGGTGCCCAGAGAAGCTGTGGCTGCCCCATCCCTGGCAGTGTTCAAGGCCAGGTTGGACACAGGGGCTTGGAGCAAGCTGCTCCAGTGGGAGGTGTCCCTGCCCGTGGCAGGGGGTGGAACCGAATGAACTTAATGTCCCTTCCAACCCAAACAAGTCTGGGATTCTGTGATACTCCCAGACAACTGGAGGAGTCCACAGAAATGCTCTGCTATCTGACACATCTTCTACCCTCTGGAACAGCTCTTCTGAAGCATCACTAATTACCAAATGTATCTGATGACTAGTGAAAATCTAACACAGAATTAACAGCTCCTTCTTCAAACACTGAGTGCGCGAGTCAGCATCACCTATGTGATAGTTCATAAACTTCCAAATCACTGAAGACCCTGCCAGCAGTCAGTGCAGAGCTCTACCAGGTGAGACTGCAAACGAGTCACCAGTTAAAGCCAACTCAGCTGAACAGGAACCTATTTTGCTCAGAAAAATCTTGCTTTCTGAGCTTCTCTTTATAACCCCAACACCTGCAGAGTGAAACCCCCCAAACCCTCGTGGTAAAGTTTGACTTGAAATGCTCTGACTCAAAGGTAAGTGGATTTTTGCCATTTCTGGTTCTGCAGTCATGAGAGCTGCATGCACAAAAAGGTCTTTACAGCTTCAATTTCTAACTCTCTATCCTCCAACTGACAGCTTATGGCATTCCTAAGAGAAATTAAAAAGAATGAAGCACGGCTTTTCCTCATGCAGGCAATAAACTGCATTGCCACCGAATTCTGCATAAGGGAGAGGAGTACAAAGTAAAAACCTGAATGAAAACAAAACCAGGAACAAGCACAGCATCGAGCAGCGGAAGCGAACACCATCACCCTGGCAGGCCTCTTGCGAGACTTCCCACGTATTCCAGGTCAGACAATTGCAGTTTTCCTTTGAGCAAGTAGCAGCGAGTTCCTGGGGCTGTGTTCGTTCCTGTGCTCACAGTTAAGGTTTCCTGACACTTGACCCTTCAGAACTTATTTCAGCTGCTCAGACTGGGTCATATTGAACTATCTGGCCTGATGTTCACCTCAGGCTGCTTGGTTTTAGAGAAGAAAACCCACGCCAGAGTTTCAGTTCCCAAACCAGGGGGATCTCTTCATGCAAAGAGCAAAAGCACGCTAGGCCAATGCATCAGAACGTCACCAGGCTCTTTGGTGTGCGTCCAAACCCCAACCAGCACTAACCTTTTTGGAGAGGGGCATGATGCTGCTCGGCCGAACGAGCCGCCGCTTCTTACAGCTCAGCACTGGGCGAGTGCGAGCTGCCACACACGTCCCATCCGAAGATGAAGAAATCATGTTGAGTCGTTGCTTTTTATGCAAGAGCTCCTCAGCTTCCTGGCCATCTCCCTGAGCATGTTCTGCCAGGCCAGGCTGAAGACTGCCCGAGAAGATAAAGAGAGCAAGAAAGACACTGTTATTCATTCAACCACCCCATGTCACCCAGCAGGACCAGCCAGGTTCACAGTTCAGATCTTAACAAATGCCCTAAGCTGGGTTTAAAGCATTGCAGGTTACAGCTTTTCTTAAGCCAACTCTCCTTTTTGCTTTGACTTCGGTCACTTTCCACACAGAACCTTTGACAAAATCCCTCTGGAAGTTCTGAACAAAAACCCAGCATTTAAAGCTGGACACAGGGCGAGACCAAAAGCCAGGACCTGAACAGCTTTAATCCTAGAACTCAGCCTCCCCCAGAATTACAGTTCAGGGCATCTTAAGACAATGGGTCCTGATGAGTTTAATGCCAGAGGCACAAGACAGAGAACGTACAATATTCTAGAACACTAAACCTTGATTCTGATGAATATTTGAGAACTACCCCTCTATCAGCTCTCAGCAGTGCAATGTTAACATTAACCTTTCTGCTTTACCTACAAAGTCCTTCCTTGTCCACACGCAGTCACCCCGCTGCACCATGGCATCACTAGCCCAGGCCACCTCCCAGACACCAGCACGGTGCCTCATCTGCAGAACCTTTTCATGTATATTTTACAAGTGTTTCATTTCTAAAAATGCAAAACATTAAAGCCCTGTGGTCTAAAGCTCTGCGGTTCAAAGGCTACGGGCATACAAAGGGCTCTGTCACAGCCTGCAGTGTTTCAGCTGTAGCAGAGAGTGAGTTGATCGGTGTTCTCTATGCTTGCACGCTGCACCATTGCAGCATCCCTCCCACCTTAAGGTACTCAGCAAGTGTGGTGGTACTGGTAAAGCTTCCCTAGCCACTATGAGGACTCTGAAGCACCGTGCATTCAAGGGTTTTCAAGTGCTGCAGCCCTGAAATCATCCTGTAGCACAGGAGAGTTTCTTTTACTTTACCTACTTAAAGACTTTCTCTTCAAAAGCAGCTTGGAGAAACATTATTCAGAAAGTCTTACTCCCAAATCAATGGGATGGGGACTCCTCAGGATCTCCAGAACATGGGCCAGTGCTTACAGATTCGTGTGCAAAATAACTGCAAGCAGGCTACTAGTACCTCCTAATCACACTATTTGCAAGTGTATGGACAATACCCATACAGGCAGAGTTTGGAACACGCTCACTGCACGGCTTCCCCCCAGAATGCATCAACCTGCAGGCTGGGTCATGCACACACAGCTCAGTTTAGTTCCATTTTCAGGAAAACAAGGCAGCAGAAAACCTCAAGAAAGTCACGTCCTCCAAAATGTTTCCAAGCATCATCTACCACCATACCAGAGGCCGTCTGTACCATTACCCATCAACCAGCATGTTACAGGCCAGTTTCCAGTGGGACTTTGTCAAGATCGTAACAATCAAACTCTTCCCATAATATGCAAGGAGCTTACGTGTTAATAACTCCATTAACTTACGTGTTAATAACTCCATTGACGGGTCTTGGTGCTCCACAGGGCTTGGCGGGGTGGGAATCAGGAGTATTTGCAGCAGAAATACCCAAGTTCTCCAAAGGCTGGGATCCAGAAACACCCTAAGGAAGGATGAGAAAGATCAGGAATTAATAAAAGCAGCTTCTTCAACTGCCACAACGTTCTTCTTACCAGTTTGTAGCTGAGGATTCTGCACTGGGTTTCCACACAGGACTTCAAAACAAGGGTTCAGAAGCCACTACGTGAATGGGAGATGGGAGATGCAAGGACTTCTTTCGGCGCAGCTCTGGCAAGAGGATGGTACAGGGCAGGGCTTTCAAGGATTTCAACTCCCCCCAGAGGCAAGCACTGAGGAGTATGAAAGGCCAAGGTCTTTAAGGAGATTTTAGCATCTTGTCCCAATAGTGCAAACAAGTTTATAAGCACCTGTAAACCTCACAGGCAGCTTCTGAAGCTTGATGTGTGCTGTAAGCCACGGCTGCAAGCTCCTGTCTAAGCACTCTGGGGGAAAACAGGAGGGGAGGGGGAGTGGAACTGACTTGCAAACCTGAATTTGCATTTTAACTACCTACCTGTGCAAACATGGTCCAAAGAGCGCTTTAAAAGTGTATTAAACGAGTATGCACATAAGCTGTGGGCTTGGGATATAAGGAGGCCAACTTTATAAAGTTAAAACTGCCCAATAAACACCTTTTTGACAGAGGGAAGAAGCGAAAACTAAGTTAAAGACAGAGCTCCCTGCTTTACTCTGCTGTGAGCAGCAGTTACTGCATGGCCACAGCACCAAATGGCTGCACAACTCCCACTGCAACTGGCCTCAACAGGGGGACTGTCAGTGCAGCCTCCAAGGACACGCGGGCTTTGTGCCTCCTGCAAGTGACATTCCTGTCCTCCACCCCAGCACGTGCCAGTGTGGTCCAACGTGTTCATGTCCCTGGCACTCATCCACCCCCCGTCTCATCTTTGAAGCCCCTTCTGTTTTCAGAGAGCTCCTTCTCCTCCTCCCCTGGCTTAAAGTCATTTCTTCTCATGCTACCTCCTCCCAGTGCCTCTCGAGCTGGGTTTCCCCTGCGCACACACAAGGGCAATGATGCAGTTCAAGTACTGCTAAAAAAGACAAAAGGGAAGGCCTGATTTCTCTCCATCAAGATGTTTCCACAGCCCCCTGCTTGCCACATACTCCATCTCCAAAGCATCGGTGCTGCACTGATTAACATCTTCCCTGCAGTCACTCCCCCACCCAAGGAACAACTACAATCAGGTGCTGGACTAACGGTTTCCAGCACAGCAGAGCCCTGACTCACCCAGGAAGAGCTATTTCTACCACCACAGACAACTTCTGCCTGCTGCCTGTTGCAGAAGCTTTACTGGGTTCCACACTGCTGCTACAGAAGGCAGCTCTCCCGGTGCAGGATCAGAGCCATGGGCAGCCAGGGCAGGGGTGAATCAGATCACACCAGGAGCATGAGGTGAGCCCAGGGCAGCTCCCTGCGAGGTGAAGCCAGAGCAGGAGCTGAAGGTTTTCCTGCTGGTTTCCAGAAGCTTGGCAAGGCTGAGCCTTCACATGACACCGCTGCCGGAGGCACCCCCGGTGCAGGAGGGCGGCTGCACATGACTCATGAGCTCTTCTCAACCAGGGCATTTATTTCCTCCTCCAGAAAGGGTCTTTAAGGAGGAACTTCCCTCTTCCCCAGGGCCTGTCTCCATGGTGGTTCAAGGCGGGAGTAGAGGGTGACCCCTCTGCTTCCTGCAGAGGAGCTGGACGGCATCAGTCCCAGGTCTCTTTATCAGAAGGAGCCCAGGCTCCCCTTATCACACTGAAGATGGGTGTTCCCTACCACTGCTCTGGCACGTGCAACGGGAAGGAGCAGGACTGCAAGAGCTGACATCTCCAGTGCTCTTGCATCACCACCTCCTGGACACACATCCCAGCTCTGTGTATTCCTCCAGGGCTGGTCCTGCATCCAGGCTGGCACCCAAGGAGCGGCCATCACACTAGGATCACACTGGTGCTCCAGACCGAGCTCTTCTCTGTGTTTTGGGAACAGCGGAGGTCTGGAAGTGCAGGTCTTTAGGATCCTTAGGACTCTTGGGAGGGGGTGTCTAAGATTCAGCTTTAGCACATCTGCTTGTAGAACATGAAACCAGCAGCTGCAGACTGCCAGGGGCTCTCACAGCAGGAAAGAAGCTGTCTGCTGGCAAGTCGTCATGGCCCAACACCAGGAATCATGGAAAGGTTTGGGTTGGAAGGGACCTTAAAGCTCATCCAGTTCCAAGCCCCTGCCATGGACACCTTCCACTAGATAAGTACTAAACTGTCTCACTGTTAGCTGCCCTCTGGCACATCAGTCTTCCCCCATCTTCCCAAAACCCCAAACAGGTTCAGATCTTCACCTATGACAAGACACAAACCCCTAACGCAGGGAAAAGCCTGACAGAAATACTCCACCGATATATTCTCTCATTTCCCAGTCAATGTTAAGTGCTCCCCTGGCTACTTGAGTGATGAATCCCTGTCAACAGCAGAGCTCTTTCTCCAGGGCTTTGTGTTATCCTTGTCTTCAGGCAAAAATACTTCTTCACATACTGAGCTTCCAGTTCCCAAGAGACATTCCCAGGTCTTCTCTGCAAGACCTTCCCTCCACTGATGATAGGATTAGCTCCTTCTAGGGATTATCAACCCCATCCCACATATCAAGCTGATGCCTGAGGACACGTATCCTGCATTAATGCCAGCCAAGGGAGGGACGCATGAGCAGATGAGAACCAAAGAGGAGCTGGAGACGGGACAGGATGGATTCCTCCCCTTACTCCATGCTGCAGATGTGTTTCTTACTCTGCAGCTGGGAGGGAAAGAGCAGGAGGAAAGGCCAAGGAAGCACGTCTAATTCCGAGCAGCCCAAAGAATGCCGCAGTGATAAGCACCTCTCCAGGAGAGGCCCAAGAGATCCCCTTCCAGTAAGTGTCCTGACGCAGCAGGAATGGTCTCTGGGCTAATCTCTGGCCTGGAGCAGCTCAAGGCTCTGACTCAACACCCCACCCTTCCCAGCAAGTCTAATTAAGCACAAGCCCTCCAGCAGCGGCTGTAGAAGCCTGGAGGTGCCTGCAGGCAGCATACCTATAGACATTATGCCTAAAACAACCTGAACCAGGACAAAGAGATGTTTTTTTAAGTATATGGCACTGTCTTTAACAAAGTCAGGAGGGACTTCAAGTGCTTTTGGGGTTAAAGCATGAGAATTTGGAGGGCACACAACAGACGGGCATCACTGCTCCAAACCAGCCCCTGTGTCATGCCAGTGGGTCAATCCCGATCCGTAGCAGCCCCGGGCATCCTGGCTCTCCAGCCTCTGCTGCTCCTCCAGTGTGGCTCCATTTTCATCTGGAGCACCATCTACTACGTCAGTCGTGAGCAAAACCTGGTCCTTGTACCCAGGTACACAGCAGAGTTTGGGGCTCAGCTAATTACAAACTCACATTCCAAACAGGCATCTGAGAGCCAGTGTCAAACAAGGAGACATCTGATTACAATCACTCCTAACAACCCCTTTGCGCTCTGATGTGAATAAAACATTTCACCCTATTTCATATTCTCATTCTGTAGGAGGAGAACCCTGACAAAGACATGCCAGGGATAGGAGAAAACCCTCCAAGGACAACTTTAGGGTCACTTCCAGGGAAATGCTGGACCCGGATCACTTACATTGAATATTGGCCCATGAAACTCAAGCAGGCCCCTTGCAGTGAAGCCGTTTCTTCCCATCAGGATGGAAAAGCAGGAGCTCTGCAGCTTGGCAGGCAGAGCTGAAGCCACGCAGGGACCACCCTTCTTTTGGTACTACAGCACCACCCCAAAATCCTCCACTTGAACACGCTGATGTGTCCCACAGGATCAAAAGTAATCACAGCCAGGATGAACAGAACCATCAAGCCTTTAGTCTGTGGCCTACATTTCTGCATTAAATAATAAATACCTGGCACTCTGCATAGCTTCCAGTGCATCTCACTGAAATCATTAGTTCCCTTTCCAAGGGGTGACACTCAGGCAGATATTAATAGCTGCATCTTCAGAAGCCTTTGCTAATTGTGCTGCTTGCAGTTTGAAGTACTTTTTTGCTAGAAGGAGAGGCTTCATTAAGATTTTTAAGCTTCACCAAATGCTAATGCGTATTACAAACGTACCCTGAGGAACTCTGCTCTAAAAGGTGTTTAAATCCTAACGTTTATTAACCCCCAAATAATGTGGGCAGATCAGCAGATCAGCAATTCCCACATGCAGTGACACAAGAGGTGCTTCTGCAGGAGGCCAGTCCCATGCTGGACACACAGTTCGAGCATCATTCTCCACCACAGCTTAAAGGTACAACCTTCCCTACCCCACATTCATGCAGGTGAAGTATCTGGTCTCGGTCACTTCTGGTGCTGGCACTTACCAGCCGGTCAACCCCAGGCTCCAGCTTAACTTCAGCACTAACGAGACGGGATGCATCATCTACTGCAGGATCAGGGGGTGATGCTTCACCCAGAACTATCAGCCCCTGGAAGAGAGGGAAGGGAACAGGAATTAACTGCAGGTCCTTCGGTCCCAGCAGGGAAACTGCTCATCCATCATCCTCAGGAACCACAACCGCTGCCCAGCCAGGCCTCCATTCCCACTGTGTTCCTCACATACGATGCCAAAACCAGTCTCCGACTGCCTGGATTTTCCTGACAATTAAACTGGACTCGGATGGGCAAGGACAGAAGCTGACTCCAGATCGCAAGCCTTCAGCCCGTTAACAGCAGACAGTGAGCTTCCTCTTGGGCAAAACTGCTGCCATCCCGCTGCCGTCCCACTTCCACCCCGCTTCCCACCCTTCCCGCATGGCAGGGGCTCAGCATGCTGCGTGCCAGCAAACCAGAGAGCATTCCAGAGAGCATTTTACTGGAGCGCTGAGCAGGAAGCGACTGCTTTCACAGTACAAAGTGGAACTCGCCACCAGAGCCAAGCAAACGGGTTTGAGTGGGTGCCAAAAATGATCAGTCAAACTTATTACTGCAAGCAGCTTTCTTTCAAAGAAGTGATATTCCCCAAATTCAGTAAGGAAAGAAAACCGTCGATAAACAAGCCTCTGCGATAAAGCACGCGGGACAAAGCACAGTGGCAGGAGCACTGCTTTATCAGCCTTAACATACGCTGTCCTGTTTGTTTGAAGTGGAGCTTACTCTAAAGGCAGGACTGGTTTCTCTCTGAATGACACAAAGTGAACCAAAATCATTGTAATGATGTATATTCTGAGCTCCAGTATCACAAAGCAGGGTAAAAGGTGCAAGGGATTAGGGATGGTGGAACCCACAGGCCAGGAATACAATCCAGGCCAAAGACAAGCCAGAACAAGCATGTGTTTGGTCAAACTATGGGCAGGGCTGCTCTGATTAGGAACAGGCTCAGTCATCCAAAACCAGTCCTGGAGGTTACCCAGTGTGGGACAAGAAAGTGAGCCTGGAAGGGAACCTGGACATGTTATGTGGAGAGAGGAGAGAGCTACAGGCAAAAAATCCACTGATTCCCCCCGCCATGGCACGTGGGCATGGCAGTGCCTCATAAGGCTCATCTTATGCCTTGACACAACCTATACAACAGATTCCAGAAGGACAATGGGAGCCCGCAGATCAGGGATGCTTTATCTGAGAACAGTTCATAAGCTAAATACAACCGCACGTGGCCCCTGAGCAGCAGCGAGGGAGCAGCCAACGCCTGGGACAAAGACGATGATTAAAAACTCAGAGTGCTCTGGCATCAGAAACAACCACAAGGAATTCTGCCCCAGTTTGAAGGAGCGGGATGAAGAGAGCTGCTCCATGCCTCAGGAAGGAGCAGGGATCCATTCTGCATACTATGGCATTTGTAAGTACGTCCCTTTAATGGGACTCTGAAGCGGAGGCTTAACGCAGCCTTCCCTGGGACACAAGTTTGGGTCTCATGCTCCCATCCAGAAGCTGCACTGCCCAAACCTCCCATGCCAGCCAGTTTTAAATCTCCCTTATTTAAATGCTTCTCAATAATAGAGAGGAATTAGAAGGGCAACATCAAATTCCCAGCTCCCTTTCAGGAAGGGGAAAGGAGCAGCAGCGGATCTGTATCATTCCAAGGTCACACAGTACTTGCGTTTCACTAGCATTCTCCAAAACAAAGGAAAAAGAGAGACTTCCTCCAATCTATGTGGGCAAGTTTGTGGCTTCTTTACTCCCCGTTTTTATCACCAATTACAGTATTAATGACAAGTCAATTGTACAGGTCTCAGAGGCAGATACAGAGACAGATCTCGGGTGTCTCAGTCCTGTAACAGTCAGCAGCTTCTGCCTAGGGACTAATGGGTGAGGAAGAGGAGTGACACATCAGAAAGAGATTGAGTGTCCTAAAGAGCCCTGCAGAGGGACAGCAGCATCTCTTATCATGCCCTAAGCCTGACATACCATTGGAGACACAGAAAGCTCATGTGAAAGCTGCAAATTCCTCCAGCAAGAGACTCCTCCTAACTCCTATCCCACCCTTCCCATCGCATGTTTCGCTTGCCTCAGCAGCCCCAACAGGAGCACGGCCCTTCCCATGGGACAGGCCACACGGATCACAGCAGCAGCTTAAGGGAACACAGTGAACCCGTCTCGGATGCTCTGGGAACAAGCCGAAGCTGGGTCTGTGGAGATGATGTGCAAAACAACCCCGTCTTGAAGGGGTTTTGGTCACTGCATTACAACCGAGCACACAATTCCTGAAGGAGCCCTTCATCTTAATTTACCTCTTATTCATCTAAGAGTGGAACTAGGAAGAGACACAGAATGAGAGGAAAAATGCTCTTTGTTCCTTCCAAACCCAGAGCTGCCCACACGCAGGGGTGCAGAGACTCTGCTTGGGGGACAGGGACCGGCACGTGCCACATCCCACCTCGTTGTGAGAAGAAACAAAACCACTTTATTACCTTTGTGGACATTCAGTCCCTTAAATTAACTGCAGATGCTCTTCACAACCAACCCAGAACCAAAGGCACAACAGCACATTACAGCTACCATTGAACACAGCCTCGCTGATGGGTTGTTTTCCTCGTGTCTCACCAGGCTCCAACTGAGCCGATCCCAATGTGCTGAAAACACAATTACTGCCGAGACACCCAGGCAGCAGTTTGTACCTTCAAAACAGGAGGTTATTTGTGACTGCCTGGTCCTTCTCCTGCTTTGAGTTACCAAGCAATGCATCTTGAAGGCTACACTGGGATGTGAACCTTCAAATAGCAAGGTAACTAACATTAAAAAAAGAGGAAAGCAGAAGAGAAAGAACAGAAAAGAAAGCTGAAATCCTGCAGCAGCTACACTTTAACTTCCTCATGGCCAAGCTGGAGTGAAGTTATAGTGATAGAAACAAGGCGTCACCAGATTCTTGGCATTATTGTCCTTGTACAATTTGAAGCCAAATCCATTCTAACCAGGCTCCTGTATTACTCATTTCTCTGGTCTCCTACATGTGTCCCAAGCTGCTCTTATGACTCTTACTCTGAGGCTTTTATTGATGAAAACAGAACGTTTCCCACCACCACCAAGACAACAACAGCTGGATGCAAGCAGTGATCTCCACGAGGTCTTGTCAGAGAGATGGGGTATTTGAGACTCGCTTTCTTACTCAGACAGAACAAACAGCCACTACCAGATCTTCACCATGTGAACTCTGCTGCTACTGGAAGTGCCAATGCTTTATCTAAAATTCATATAATGGGTTATCACAGCTGAGGCGTTTTGTTTTAGCAAATCAAGAGAGGTGACATCCTGTTTGCTGAAACCTCAGATGTACTTTTCATGCCTGACACCAGACCGTGATGTTCTCCTTTCAGACCCAGAGCCTGCAACCGCCGGTAAAACCATAGGGGATGCTTGTAGTCATGATGAGGCCCTTTCACGAGCCTGTGAAGTTGTCATCATGTGGTGAAAGCGCTGAATCTTCCACTTCATTAGATGAGTTTCCTCATTTCTTTCACTGTTTAATTTTAGCATATAAATGTTTAGCTATTTGGTACTTAGAAACCATCCTGCACGATCAGCTTTTTCAGACAGAAGGAAGAGGATCCCTTCTGAAACTGGTTCCTGAACTGGACACACAGCCCGCCTCCCAGAGGCCTTCTGCTCTAATCTGGGTTCTGTGTTGCATTCAGCTCTTCCACCTAGTCCCTCACAGCCCCCCCTCCCTCAAATAGCCTGTTTTTCTACATAGCTGTGGAGATGTCCCCTCTCCCTGCCCTGCCTGTGCTCTCTGCCCTCTGGAAGCCTCCCCGCCACCCCCAGAGCACCACCCATCTTGGGAAGAGCATTTGCTAGGCTCCGAATTCCTGAGGATCTCTAAGTTGATGCAATACCATGAGCCTTCTTGCCACAAACTCCAGACATTCCTCCCTCCAAGGTCTGACATTTAGACGTGCATGCCTGAACTAGTCTTGGTAACAATTCCTTCCTCATCCCCTCTCTGCTCTTCCCCATTCTCCTGCCATCTGAGACTAAGTCTGAAAAGAATAATTCCTTCCACAGAGAAAGGTCAGCACCTAGGAACAGTCTTTTTTATACTCCAGACTCAATTTTGAGCCTATGCTATGTGATTACATCTGAAACTAACTTCCCCCACAGTCCCCTCACTTCTCCAATAAGTCTCTTGTTAAGTTGTTCCTTATCCCCATCTTCAGCTATTCCCCAAAAGAAAGAATGGGAAGGCTTTGAAAAGAAATCAAACGAAGAGAAAGGCTCAAACCATGCAGGTAACAACAGTTCTGTTCAGTACCTAAAGGCTGACTTCAGAGTGAGGTATTGCTCTCCACGTTACTGTACTGAACCAGGGAAAAGAACCACACTCTGCCTGCACCAAACAGCACTGCAATCAGTCACAACTGTGCAGCATGTTTCGTGAGAGATGCAGGGGAGAAAGGATCAGCCTCTGCACAGGTGCCCTCACTGCATCAGAAGAGAGAGCCATTAGGAGGCAGGCAAAGCAAGACCCCCAGTGCTCACCTTACTGGCTCTGATCTGCTTGTAGATGTCCGTTTGCTGCCGGATCCGGTATTCCAGGTCCGAGACGTGGGCTTGGAGCCAATTCCAGCGACTGACGATGGCTGCACGGTCTGCTGCCCACCTCCACTCTGCCCTTCGCCTCCTGGGAAAACACAGAAGGGAAGGGGGGATTACGCTGAGTGTGATTTTAATTCCACAGTGCCCTTGCAGACCAACAGCTCCCACCTGAGTGCTGTGGCTGGTACCATGGAGCCACCGCTAACCATGCCCCACCAAACTGCAGACACGCTGCAAAAGCCAGTATTAAAACAACTTTTAGTACCTAGTGATGGGAGCCCTGCCTATGCAAGTGTTCAGATTGTATTCCATGCTTAACTGAAGCAGCAGCTCCAGTCCTACCTGGCCACATCTGCCAGACCCACTTTTCCAAGTCTTGGAGGAAAGAACCCATCTGTCCTCCCCCTTTCTGCAGACAGCCTCTTTAAAAAGAGACTTCTGCCATCTGAAGTCACAGAGTATGTCTGAGCACCAGCACGTTTTACATGGCACAAATATGCTTTAACTAGTGCGTGGACTATACACGCCGCGTCTCAGTCAGCTCTGTCGTGGTTTAAACCCACTCAGCCACGCAGTCTCCCCCTTGCTCCCCCTCTCCGCTCCCGGAGGGATGGGGAGGTGAATCCAAAGAATGTAACTCCCATGGGTTGAGATAACAGCAGTCCAGTAGCTAAGGTAGAACACAAATCACCGCTGCTACCACCAGTAATAACAATGATAAGGGAAACAACAAGGGGAGAGAATACAACCGCTCACCACTCGCCAACCGATACCCAGCCTGAACAAGCAGTGATCTAGCCCTTCCGGGTAACTGCCCTCAGTTCTACATCCTGGGCTTAACGTGCTGTGCTACGGAATACCTCTCTGGCTAGCTTGGGTCAGGTGTCCTGTCTCTGCTTCCTCCCGCCTTCCCCTCCTCCCTGGCAGAGCATGAGACTCACAAAGTCCTTGGCCAGAGTAAACATTACTGAGCGGCAACTAAAACCATCGGTGTTATCAGCGCTGTTCCCAGGCCGAAAGTCAAAACCACAGCACTGCACCAGCCCCTAAGAAGGAGAAAAATGACGGCTACTGCTGAACCCAGGACACTGTTACAAAACCCTTACTCTCTACTACCGCACTCCGGAGCGGAAAGGAACACAAAGATGGGAAGGAAAGTATGAGCCTACAGCTCTCATCTCCCACATTAAATGCCACAGTATCATGAAAACACACCCTAAGCATCCTGATTCTGGTAGACAAATATTAAGGCTACCCAGGAAGAGAGCAAACCACACCATGGTGCAGAAACAAAGCACCAGCAGGAAGCCCATGCACAAATCCAGTGCCCCTCCACAAAGCCTTTGCACATCTGGATGTTTGGAAATTAAGAAATCTTAAAATCCCAGACTGGTTTGTGTTGGAAGGGACCTTAAAGCTCATCCAGCTCCAACCCCTGCCACAGGCAGGGACACCTTCCACTGGAGCAGCTTGCTCCAAGCCCCTGTGTCCAACCTGGCCTTGAACACTGCCAGGGATGGGGCAGCCACAGCTTCTCTGGGCACCCTGTGCCAGCGCCTCAGCACCCTCACAGGGAAGAGCTTCTGCCTAAGAGCTCATCTCAGTCTCCCCTCGGGCAGGTTAAAGCCATTCCCCTTGGCCTGTCCCTACAGGCCCTTGTCCCAAGCCCCTCTCCAGGTTTCCTGCAGCCCCTTTAGGCACTGGAGCTGCTCTCAGGTCTCCCCTTCAGGAGCCTTCTCTTCTCCAGGCTGCCCCAGCCCAGCTCTCTCAGCCTGGCTCCAGAGCAGAGCTGCTCCAGCTCTCACAGCATCTCCAGGGCCTCCTCAGCACCCTCATAGTGCTTCAACCAAGCCTCTGTGTGCAAAGACCAAGTCACAGCTGTCCACAGAGCAGTGCTGCGTGGAATGTCCCTGCTGGACCTCCTGGCTGTGTGGGCACTGTCACTTCAGTGCTAATGGAGATGGGGCCAGATTTCCACCAAAACAGGGATGGCATCCGCTGCCTCCAGCCCTCGCAAAGCCCAGCTGCAAACCAATTCTAGGAGCTTAAGTCCTTCTCTTGGATTATTTCCCTGTGTAAAGTGCCTGCTCTATTCTGGTCAACACTGACCTTATGTTTGGTGGAAACTGTATTTATTGGAGATGGATGCCACAGCAAGGCCAGATCTTAATCCCCCATCAGTTACTCCGAGGATACAGTCAGCAGAGCTAGAGACAAAAGCCAGCCAAGGCAGTGACCATAGGGTTAATCTGGTTTACAATAGGCCAACACCAGCCCAGCATCATGCAGCTCTAACCCAGACCTCTGAACAGTCATGCTTTACTGTGTTCCAAGCAGGATAAAGCCTTGCAAAGTGCATGGCCCCTCCTCCCTGCAATGAATCCCCAGTCTGCGCCTAAATGGCACAGAATCCCCTCCATGGAGGATAGGAAAGTGGTGCTTGGGAAGCAGATCTTGATTTCCCTCTGACTCCATCACCTGCAAGACTGACAGTGTTTGCATGACGTGGCTTCCCACGAGACCAACCAGAGCATTTCACTTTCCTGCCAGCCAAGTCTCGGGGAAATTCTTACCAGACTCATTTCAGAAGCTAAAACCAATTTTACTAGAGAAGAGTTCATCTTTTATAGCTGAAAGCCCGGGAAGACCTCTGCAATGGCTGTGTCAGCTTCCACAGCATCCTCAGCTTCTGTGTGCGCAATAATCACCTGCACTCCTAGAAGGCTGAGGACTAAGCCAGATCCCAGCAGGCTGGATCCATGTGGCACTGGGAATTGTTTTTAGAACGCTCAAAAGCTGCTGAGAGCACTTCCAAGCTGTCGGCTCCCTTGCTTGCCTCTGCAGCACCCATGCCTGCTGGAGCAACACCGGCCTCCTCCGGTGGAGACACCTCATTCTTCGCTCACATGACACAGAAACGAAGCATCAAAGCCACCTCATGCCCATGCAGGTGACGTGGCAGCGCACGCAGCAGTGGACCTGTTCTTCACCTTAAAACCAGGACACATCCTGCTCCAGGAAAACCCACTGGATTTACCCCAAAACTAAGCCAAGAAGCGAAGCAGGGTAACGTGTGCTTCATGCCCTGACACCCTGCGGCACGGGGGGAGGAGACATCATGATGGCTCAGCCACACTTTCCAAAACAGCACCAAGAGTAGTGTGGTTCTCTATATTTAGAATGAAGCTTTTTTCGGTGCCTGTTCAATTACACCCTTTGCTGCCGTGTGCTGCCAGCAGCAGAGATGTCTTCTCCTGATGTAGAGCAGCTTTGGGATAACAAGGGAGGTAGTTTCTTGAGCTTTAATCTCTACACAAATCACAAGAACAATCATTTTCTCAACCAGGACTAGAAAGTACCAACCACACACAAGATACTGCAGTGACCTGGGATGCTGCCACCACCAGCAGTCACCTGGAACCTCAACCAGAGCGAGGGAAACCCTCTTCCTTTCTGTCTAAACGTTAGGGGTTTTAGCATGATAACCAGTAAAAGTGTACTGCACTTGCCCAAAATGGGTTTTGGATTAAGCTGAACAAGATGATGGATGGACAATGGCTGCTGAGAGCGGTGTCACTGCGAGCGGCTGCACAGCTTGTCCTGAGAGGGGACACGGAGCTGCTGGAGGAGTCCAGAGGAGGCCATGGAGATGCTGCGAGGGCTGGAGCAGCTCTGCTCTGGAGCCAGGCTGAGAGAGCTGGGCTGGGGCAGCCTGGAGAAGAGAAGGCTCCTGAAGGGGAGACCTGAGAGCAGCTCCAGTGCCTGAAGGCGCTGCAGGAAACCTGGAGAGGGGCTTGGGACAAGGGATGTAGGGACAGGCCAAGGGGAATGGCTTTAACCTGCCAGAGGGGAGACTGAGATGAGCTCTTAGGCAGAAGCTCTTCCCTGTGAGGGTGCCGAGGCGCTGGCACAGGGTGCCCAGAGAAGCTGTGGCTGCCCCATCCCTGGCAGTGCTCAAGGCCAGGTTGGACACAGGGGGTTGGAGCAACCTGCTCTAGTGGAAGGTGTCCCTGCCTGTGGCAAGGGTTGGAGCTGGATGAGCTTTAAGATCCCTTGAACCCCAACCAGTCTGGGATTCTTGTGCTTTGAGAGGCAAAGCTGGTGCAGGAAGTAACAGGAGCAGCAGCAAAGCAGTTAAAAGCTGCATCCTCCAAGGGAAACCATTCACACTGCTCTCCGGTGTGCTCTGAGTGTGAGAGCTCACACAGAACAGGCTATGGGAGGGGGGGCAGCCTGACAAGGACAGCGTCCAGCCCACTTAAGCAGATGGATGGTGCTTATCCTAAGTAGAGCATGCACGCAGAATTAGCTGCCTTGCATCTCCTTGCATGGACGGAACCTATCACTACAGTCCCTGATGAAGAGTCCCTCTGCAGCATCCTTGTAGCCCCCCTTCAGGTATTTCCACCCGGGATCTCCAGCAGATCCAAAACCTGTCAACAGACCATAAAAGTGGTTTCAAACAGGGTAGTTTATGACATTGAGCTGTTGGCTCTATTAGAGGCCAAATCACCCACATTAATTCTGCACACTTTCCTTGTGCAGCCCCAGGGCAAAGTTTAGCAGTGTGAATGCAACTCAATGTTTCATGTCCACACTGGTGCAGTGCCTGCTCCTGAGCAGTGGTGGGATGCCAAGAGGAACCTCATGTATAAATCAACTCCTGCTGATTCACCGGAAAGGGAGAACTATTAAGCATTCAATTCAGGTTAAAACAAAGCTTCCCATCCCCTTTCTCTGCTCATCTTTTTAGGGGCTTGAATGCCAGTACTGAAAACCAGGTAAAATATGGGGACACTTGCTGTTGGACTCTGTGCTAGGGACAGCACCACCAATGCTCCTGGCAGCCTGGAAACCCAGGACATGCCCAAGGGAAGGAGCCATGTGCTCTGCTCACACGGAGCCAATTCCAACAACAGGCATCCAAGCATCATCCCCCAAGCACTACATAAACACAACTTTTCCAGCTGCTCTCATGATCCTCAGCTGTGCCTCACTAGCAGAGAGCTCCGCACCCAATTCAGCCGCTGTTTTCCACTTTGTGCCATGTATTCTTCGAGCTGCCTCCTCGGACCACAGAGCTTT